TATTCACATTATTATCGTCAAATTTGAAATAAGAATTAAAGAAGATATAAAATCGCTTAAAGTTAAGAAAAATAGCCTCTGGTTCTCTTATTTTAGTAATTTTTGCATTCCAAAGTGTAGGAGTATGGGGAAAGTAATATAGCTTTGCGGTTATTTGTGAACATTTTTCAATACGTTTAGCCTTTCAGTACTTTCAGTACTTTGATTACTATTGTATTACCCGCTCGTGTTAGGATAAGGCATTACTAGGTGCAACGGGAGGAGTAGCGATGTCGGAAAACCTGTCACCAAAAATCCAACCGATTATATCACATCTCTTGTTAAATCATGATTTGACTTTGTGCCAAATATCGCGTGAATGCACCAGCCAGACCAGATGAGACAGAAAAATATAGCATTGGGTTGTGCAATATATCTAGGCTACATACATTTTTGGTTTCGCTGCCATCTCCCCATAACGTCAAAACTGCCCGTTAAACTCAGTGATGAGGAGTTAGTATTTGGGACGTAATAGATCTACAGTTGAATGATAAAAACACGTTTTGCTAAATTTAGATAAGAAATAACTTTCGCGGGGTCGTGATCTGAAAGAAGACTGTTGTGCACTGGTCACTTAGTTATGGCTTTCCTGCAACTGCACAGACAAGAACAGTTTATGACAGGCATGGAGATAGAGAGCTCCTTATCATGATATTTTTATTGCACCCTAATAACAACCCTCTTCCCGCAACCCCCGATTTTACTGTTGAATCAACATTTAAGGGATTGTCCCCAAAATTACGATTCCCTTGCAAGACATCGGCAGCCAACCGATAGACTGACAACGCAGCATTTGCGATACGTTATTGAAACTAGCGTGTTAGTATATTTGGTAGTTTCGTTGCTGATGGAAGCATCAAAGCATGTCAACAGAATCTAATTTTAAAACACAATTTCGATAAAACCATTTTAACATTTTTCTCATTTTGGAACGTTATTGTCTTGGATTTGCCAATATGTACATGGCGGAGGCCGTCGATCAAGCAACAGAAACACATCTTTCTGGAACACCTGGCTTGTACCCTTTGTAGTTTTCAAGAAACTCCATGTAAATCTTTTACGTGGTTCTATTTTGCCCTGATATCAGTTACTGTAATCGTACATATTATTTTAGCGGTAACCCAATTTAAGCTTTATTTGTGTTGGATGGATTTCGGTAAAATATGAATGCTCCAACTATAGTTTCTGCATGTTGTTTGTATGACAAGTATGGTGTTTTGGATAGATGCTAATATTTTGTTACGCGGAATTCAACAGGTTTATAGCATTTGTAATTTGAAAAGGACTCTTTTGATATCTCTAGGCTCTATGTCGCTCATCACAACAACGGTTTCTTCAAATCAAATGAGAAGCAAAATTATGTTGCATTCTGGGACGTTGTCTCTCAAGCATATTAGTCAGTCGAAGCCATGCAGAAATAATATGTCTGTAAGGAAAACGTGGAAGGAAGGTCTTCATAATGACCACTGGCAATACAATTTCATTTTCTTTACACAAAATTTACACGACGTTGTCTCTCAAGCATATTAGTCAGTCGAAGCCATGCAGAAATAATATGTCTGTAAGGAAAACGTGGAAGGAAGGTCTTCATAATGACCACTGGCAATACAATTTCATTTTCTTTACACAAAATTTACACGACGTTGTCTCTCAAGCATATTAGTCAGTCGAAGCCATGCAGAAATAATATGTCTGTAAGGAAAACGTGGAAAGAAGGTCTTCATAATGACCACTGGCAATACAATTTCATTTTCTTTACACAAAATTTACACGACGTTGTCTCTCAAGCATATTAGTCAGTCGAAGCCATGCAGAAATAATATGTCTGTAAGGAAAACGTGGAAGGAAGGTCTTCATAATGACCACTGGCAATACAATTTCATTTTCTTTACACAAAATTTACACAACTTTAATTGATACAATTAATTTCAAAGCCCGAAGTCAATATATAAAATAAAGGACCTTATTACCATATTTATGCATTACATTCCTCTTAGATACAATTAAGCTCTAATACTCTATCATTAATCAATTACGAAAGCAAATGTTATTGGCTTCATCAAGTCAAAACATATTCTTTGGGATGTTTGTTCATAGTTCATGATCGTTCAGTGCAAAAAGGTCCGTTAAGGAGTTAAGCATAACAAAGCAAACACTTCGATATTTTCTCTGAACGTCTGTACACATTCCCAAAGCAGAATTTCTCCGTTTGATCAAGGAATCTTTAATAGTGAATATAATGTCATAAAATACCGGCTCTCGTTCCTATTGTTTGCAATACCAACACTACTATCTTTTTTAACAGTAATCATTCTTAATTGCTGTCAGGGTATTATCTCCCAATTAATAAATTAATTTAAGGAATTTAATCAAATAAAAACACCATTCTTAAAAATAATTAAAAACGAAAAGAACAAACAATAGAAGGTAAAAGCTCTAAAAAATTCAAACTTAGAGAATAAAAAATTTAAACTGTTCGTCATAAAGACAACAATGACATTATCGGCGCATCAATAGAACAATGATCAGATATACTGATGATGTCATGTTTATAAATAACAAGAAATTTACTGACCACGTACATAGTGTATACCCACCAGAATTGAAAATCACGTACACGACAGACTTTTCTACATCAGTAGCTTATCTAGATCATTTCCTACAACGGAACCAACATGGACAGCTCGCCACCAAGCAGTATAAGAGTGATGAATCAATTTTCTCTATTTTGTGAACTTTCCATTTCTGAATAGTAAAATCCTTGCATTCCAAACCTAGGATGTTTGCAAAAGTTTATTCGATATTCAAGGTATCTGTCCAGTATCACAGTTTCCGTGCTAGATGTCGTCAGCTGACAAAATCTTAACACGAGAAATGCAGTTAAATGAAAATTACGGTCGTTATAATGATCTCATGAAGAAATGTTTTTGTACGGTATGAAGCTAGACGCTCATTTGTTTGTTTGCTTTTCATGTTGTTGTATGCATTCTCAATTCAAAACGTGACAATTATCTTCTTGGATTTACATGTCGGGTGTCACCGATGAAGCAGTAGACGCTTATTTTTTCGGAATACCTGGTCCTATTTTCCTTGTACTGTTTTAGAAACCACCGTATGAATCTTTCTTTTGTTCATGTTTTACATTATGATACCGCTCATATGTTGTTTTTTAGGCACTTGGTACCGTTACGGTTGATGTATCCAAAAAGACGAAACAGCTATTTGATGTAGTATAATTTGTTGTTTGGCCATGCGATTTGAAACACATATTAAATTGTGCTATTCACAAGAGTTTTTTAGATATATTTTTTGTTTTAGAGTAATACTTAATTAAGCATTTTCCCTATTTTACCTTGTGCTAATGTTATCCTGGATTGAAAGAAAGGTCATGGTATATTGAATTGTCTATTTTGGTGGTCGGGTAGCACAGTAGTAATGTACTCACCTTTCACCTGGCCGTCCGGGGTTCGATTCCCGGAACAGGCGTGAAAATGTTTCAAAATTGCAAAATCAGAAAGCAGATAAATTCAAATTAATTCAATACAAAGCTTTTCTGTATTTGAAATCACCACACGTGGTAGGAATGTCGAGTCATGCTGTGAAACAGAACGCGCATGTGACCTGATGAGAATGCGATTTCTGAAAGAGTAACATTAAAGTTTCATTCGGCTTTCTGGTTGAAATACTGTATTCTTTGTATTTCATATTCCCAATCCTGGTGTATTGTGCTTTTAATGTTGTTCTTCACATTATAAATTAAGTGATGTATATTCAATTTCCTGTGTTGCATATACAACTGAATGTTATTTGCATTCGATACCTTGCAGTGTTTATTCAATATAATTTGCATGATATGGTGTAAGGTTTGGGGGTATTTCCCTTGCCATCGCAGGCTTCTTAAACTGTTGTGAATAGTCCCAATTCTTACAAACGGAAGACTTAACATGGATAACAAACATCCCCCCCCCCCTTCAAAAAAAAACAAACAAACAAACAAACAAACAAAACAAAACAAAAACAAAAATTAAAAAAATCAAGCACCATACTATTTCCTACAGAGTCAAAATAACACGTGGTACCGGTTGACCTTTTTTGTGGAAATGAATCTTAGTGATTCCGTCTGATTGAAAATATTGTAAATTGAATTGATGTATCACGAAGTTAAGTATACCATGAAAAGTCAGTCTCTGAACATTATTTTTGAACTTAACACAATGGTACAGTCGTTGCATAATATGATGCAACATGATTCAATGTTAAAAAAATACATATACCATCAATTTTAACACACAATAAAATCCTTTTATGCTAATAAATTATTCACACGTATCAGTACACATTTTTCACATAATGCTACACTTCCTTGTCTGTTAGATAATTTCATAGTAAATTCTGACCATATATGCGATGTAAACACATTTCAGTTCTTATAGCCATTTACTAATCACACTACGGTTTTGTATTGTAACCTGTTCAGATAAGTAATAAAATTCACAATTTGCTACAATTCTTAAAAACATTTCTCATGTGAATCTACTGTATCGTTTTCGGTATTGCAAATGTTTGCGATTTCAAAAAATTTTAGATCCTACTAGTGTTTGTTTTGCGAAAAGCACATATCATATTTTGCAAGGCAAAACCATTATTGCAGTCATTCATTCAAATAGATGAATATTTATATAGCGTAACTTTATGCACTGTTAATATACACATACTTGCACATAATCAAGGAAAACTTTGCCTACATCGATTATATAAGAATCAATTTTTGTAGTATAGTTGTTCAGTCTATTGAAACTGACACAGAGCTCAGCGTGTATATTGATTGTCCCCTGCCATATGTGGTTGCCACGCGACCATGCGGCGACAGCGTCTGAAGCTCCACCTGGTGGAAAGGCCGAGGTGATCATTACCTGATCGGAGACTGTAAACGATAGGAAGACCATCCGATTTCTGTCAACATGTCAGCTATACTGGGATCTTTCAAACTCTCTCAGAAGAGGAAGTAAGTAGCATATCATATTTCAAGATTAATGTCAAATATGTTTTAAATAATGTACCACTGTATTGACAATCTTGAAATCTTGTTGAAGCACGTTATCATTTAAATCATGACCGCTGCAGTTAACCTTCAGTTACCCGTGGTAGTCTACATTGTATGTGACAGCCAAGCATGCACTGGTGTCCTATTTCTAATTATTTTGCAATTTCGTTTTGTAAGTAATGCTACCTATGGCTTGACGCTTGATACTGCTTCTGTCCTCACCAAATCTTTTGAACTATATCTTTCACCTTGATGAACTGTCCCAGCTTCATACTTCTGTTTCTCTTGTCAATGTGTCCCCAGCTGCATATTTATTTTTCTCTGGTCTATGTTTCTCAGCTCCTTTTTTTTCGTTTTTCAAAGTCCATATATCTTTTTCTCTTGTAAAATTGCCACTATTCCATATTTTCTGTTGTTACACGTTATGTAACATGTTAATAATGAAGTGGTTTCCTGTTGATTGCTTTCCAACGTTGCCCGGCTCTAAAGGTTGCTTGAAAATTTCTACTCCAAAAAAAGCCTTAGAAATCTTTGCTTTCGTTGCTTTCCAACGTTGCCCGGCTCTAAAGGTTGCTTGAAAATTTCTACTCCAAAAAAAGCCTTAGAAATCTCATAAATACGTCGTATTGTTTTTGTACCAGCATAATGAGACATGAAACAGACGGGCCCTGTATGATTAATTTATCAGTGTAAGCAACGTACCATAATAAATACAATTAGGTTAATCTAGGGGAAAAGATGACATGACATGTTATTTTACGCAGTGCCATAATTAGTTAATAGTCAAAAAATATCTTGCAGGTGTACAGTGAATATTTTTTCTATCCAAATTTTTGTATAAATGTTATGGAAAGCAATTACTGATATACTTCTAATAAGACTTAAGTCGTTCAATATTTTTGCTCTTAGGACAACAATTAGAAGGAAAATGGTTTAACTGGTAATATTGAAGTGGATATATAGAGAGTTAAATACACTACTGCAGTCCTTAAATGTGTTATAATTTCTTACGAACTCTGTTATCTTGGAAACAAAAGATCTTATTTTTCTTATTTCTTAATTTTAACTAACACTGAATGGAACAAGTCTGTATTCTAGCATTTTCTGTTTCGAAAATACAAATTATGACTCGTTTAAAGTGTTTATAGTATCTAATAATTCCCTTCAGAATAGTAAATGACCAGGACAAATTAAATCATCTTTTGAAAGCATTGTTTTACACGAGTACACTGAAATGTGTATTGTTGTATATAATGTATCGTGAAGGACTGAAGTAGAACTATTTCCTACCAAAGGTTCTATGTTCAGGTTCATCATACAAAACAACTGGTTTTGTTTTCGGCTTTAGTAAACGCAACGTGATATTCAGCCAGATTCTGGTATTGCACCAATTTCTAACAAACGCAAAATGTGTAAGAAAAGATGAGACTTGTGGTACACATTAGCAATATTAATTAATATAGACTAGTTAACCTTTTTATAAATATTTCTCTAGTAATACCTGATCACGGTCGCAAAAATATATCCCTGGCATCATTTTGAAAGGTCTTGTGATTTTGAAATTTCTAACTCTGAAGCAATGAAATTGGACTAAGACTGGACATATCAACACGAATTATTTGTTGCCTGCGTATCAATTCTACGTCACAATTCCCACTTGACCGATCACATGTTATTGGCAATGGTCATTAATGGAATGATATTTACATAAACACATGAGTATTCTATATGAAATAAATTAATGGAAAGACGATAGCTATGTTTCAAATGGCAAATCTAATCTCCGATTCTGTGCGGTTAATTCTGCCGTGTTCAATGTTTATTGTGCAAATGAATGACATTTGAAAACAGCCATGTATATTGTAAATTAAACCCCCAGAGAAGACTAAATTGAAACTTAGGATGGTGAGGCATAATGATGAATAAGATGAAAATTAACTGTGTAAACATTAATGCCAAAGCAGACATTCAAGCCAAATAATTACATTCATTAATTACAAAACAAAAAACAATAACAAAACAAAAAACAAAAAAAAACTAAACCAAAAAACAAAAACAAAAATCAAATAAAAAAAAACAAAAAAAAAAACAAAACAAAAACAAAAACAAAACAAAAATTAAAAAACCAAAAACAAACAAACAAACAAACAAAAAATAGAAAAAAGATTGTCCTTGGACACCTTACGTCAATCAAGTCGTTTTATCCTAATCTGTTTTGGACATGGCTTTTTTATTTATTTATATATATATTTGACAACATCTGCTATTGTTGGAAGAAAGTAACATAAAGGTATACAAACAATGGTATACAGAAAGATAAAGGTGTTCGGGGCAGTAGAAGAAACAAAAAAGAGATCCCACTTTCAGCGTCCCTATCAGCTTTGTCATTAATATCTAGCTGATTTTGTAACGGACAAGTCTACTTCCAATATTCAACAGAACGCGTCAGTGTTATTTCTAGCCTTTCCAATTATTTGTATGCTTGACTTATTATACCCTATTGATTTTTGGTCCTGCAGGTATGTAGGCCTGGTATTCTGTATGTGTCTCAGAGCCAATAGTTACTCCTCTCCCTACCCGAGACATACACGTCTAGATATATTGATTTAATTGGCTTCGTGCTAAGTATTAATTTGGTTTAGATTTCAAATGCCCATGTTATATGTTGCAATCAATTCAGTAATATATACAAAAGTTGAATGGTATGTTTCATGAATCTGAATATACACGTTCTTAACATTCTTATGCTATAAATTCACAATTGAAAAATACGATGTAGTGTTTGAAATAAAGTTTGACCAATCCAGACTTTCCTCAGTCATCTCGCATTGGCCAATTATTGATATTTTGGCCTTTGGATCACTGACTCAAAAGGACAAAACAGATGTATGATGCAGTTTCATTCATTAATTAATCAGTTTATCTTACTCTCAGTTTCTGTTGAAAGTGCTCTTAACTTGTTTGTCGTACAATTTTTCAACATCCGTAACCTTTGAAGGGTATTGAAGTGTTACTGCAAATAAGTTAAAGTGTGGTTCGTTGTCTCCGTTCAGATATTATGTTTTCTATCAGCTATTCATAGTTTTGAATTGTATCTTATATATTCTGTCTCATGAATAATTTGATGAAATATTTCAGGTATTGTATCATTTTTTCCGAAAACATTTTATAAAGCTAACTATCGTAGTTTCTTTTTAGAAATTAAAATTAAAAGATTAAAGCTGCTCAGCAAGATGGTAGCGTAATAACTTGTTTGCCAGTATAATGTGACCGGATGGGATGTCCTGCTGGGGACCTTTAGCAGTAATACTTCGTGTGGTAGTAACATAAAGTCGATTTCACAACAACACTACCCAAACAAGACTTACACTTATACATTTTGTATATCGCAACCAAAAGAAAATACATTTTCGTAGGGTGATCTTCCCACAATTTATCATCTAGGTTTTATTTGTCTCCATATTTGTCTGTAAAGAAATACTCTAGTTATTAAAAAATACTATACTGATGCTAAATATGTTACCGCTATTATGCTCTACAGACAAAGGCTCTATATGTTACCACTATTATGCTCTACAGACAAAGGCTCTATATGTTACCACTATTACGCTCTACAGACAAAGGCTCTATATGTTACCACTATTATGCTCTACAGACAAAGGCTCTATATGTTACCACTATTATGCTCTACAGACAAAGGCTCTATATGTTACCACTATTATGCTCTACAGACAAAGGCTCTATATGTTACCACTATTATGCTCAACAGACAAAGGCTCTATATGTTACCACTATTATGCTCTACAGACAAAGGCTCTATATGTTACCACTATTATGCTCTACAGACAAAGGCTCTATATGTTACCACTATTATGCTCTATAGACAAAGGCTCTATATGTTATTACTATTATGTTCTAAAGTCAAAGGCCATATATGTTACCACCATTATGCAATGCCATGTGTTTGATGAGAAGTAAGTTTTTTGCTGGTATTCCTGTTGATAGAAATGGACGTTCTTTTTGTTTTTTTAGGGCGGAGAATTTAAAGATAAAGAAAAAACAGCGGGAGATCAGAAAAGAGATGAAGGCAAAACAATTACAGGCAGAACAAAATTACCATTACCCACTTGAAAGCTATAGTGGAGCCCAACAACAGTACTGTACACCTATTCGGGAAGAGGACGCATTTGATGACTCACCAGATTCTCGTGAAGTAGTATTCGATTCAGAGTTTTCGGAATGGAAATTCATGTACGGCCTACCAGACAACACAGGAAAACTGTATGTCATCAGACTGTGTAAGTACATCTTATGAACTGTTCTAAACTAATCGTCAAATAGTCCTCTATAGTACAAACATGTTTATTATGTAATCCCGTGTGGCACAAATTCTTATGAATAGTAACAAGGTTAATATACATACTTTTACTAAGAGTTTTGAGATATCCTACATCAAAAATTCTTTTGAAAATGTACTGTTTACAATTGAGATTCGCGATTTCGTCATTTTCCCCCGATCATATTGGATTTTCATCAGTCGTCCCTTGATTCAAGAATTTAAACACTTAGCATCACTGACGAATCCTAGAAGGACGAACCAGCTATTCTCTAATATATCTTCTTTTAATTTGTTGCTATTCACTGTGTGTTGTGTACAAAGTTTATGAAAGAAATTTTTTGCAGAGGTCACGGAAAAATATGGAAATTCAAACATGATAAATAAATCAATACTAATGAAATTAATAATGGTGTAGGTGCACACACTGTTTTAACTTGGAACAAATGTTCCAAGCAGTGCTCAAAATTGAATCAAACTATACTTGGCTTCATGTAGTCACCGATTTTTTAATTGATATGTAGTTCATTTTTTTGTTTGTATGAGATAAGTACATGACACAATAATACTAATGTTATTTAAGTGGTCTTTTGGAAAAAATATCGTACACTATATCATATAAACAATGCTCACATCACATACATGAACAGGTTAACTGTTAACAGGATTGAGTTTTGTCTTGTTTTACAACAAATCGACAATGAAATAATCTCGTTTGTCCACGTCAAACAACACAAAGAAAAGACGTTCACAAAACATTACAATAAAGCTAATGTTAATACAAGATTTGTTAGTTACTAGCTGCTCATGTTTAGCGACATATTAACAATTACCAGTCTGTAAATGGATCAAATCGAACCAGTGGAAAGCCATTAAATTAGAAATGGCAAAAATATTAATGTCTAAAGTGTTACCAATTGACATTTTTTTAATACCACAGAATGTTACCAATCCTAACCCGACAATCATATGTAAATCAAGATTCAAACTCAAAAGGGATAAATAATGGCCAAAACAAAGACAAATATTTACACTATTCTGTTTCATCGATGACATCCGCCATGTATCCCTAGCTAGGCAATCAAATCGATGCAAATTTTAAAAACGAGAAATAAATGTATCCGTGGTCGTGTATCACTGTTACACAGTTTACGTAGAAATTTGACTTTAAAAAAACTCTGATAATAGCATAACACTCGATGTTGTAATATCGGCACGGGTCACATTCGCGATAGAAGCCAAAACACTGGAGCTGAAAATCATTTCTGTAACAAGTTTGAAATAGGTGATTATATGCCATATCTATCACAGGATATTCTGGTTTGTCATCAATCTTTCAGAGTAGGTATTATTATTTCGGCCTGATAAAAATCTAGCAGGAAATAAAACAAAAAAGGGTTGATTTACATCCCAAACTCAAATTCTAATCTATAGAACATTTACACAATATGGTGTCCCGAAGGAATGTTGTCAACGTGTTGCCATACTGAAATTATTCACTCAGGCTCGATAATTCGAAACCTAAACCAGTCAAAATATCTACAGTTAATCATTTTGAGGTGGAATGCAAAATCAGAGATCTGCTAGGTAACAGTCTAATAGATTTTTGTTTGTCTCCGTCAGTAAACAAAACTCATAGCATGCCCCGCTTAGGTGGCCGTTCCATACAAAGAACAAAAAAAGGATCAGCTATGTGAGGCAATAAAAGTAAAACAAAATCCTTCTTAGAAAGGAGACAAGGATAGAAAATTCAGACACTTTGTAACCATTCATTAAATGGGTCGAGTGGGAAAAATTCTTGTTCCATATATGTAGGAACTGATTTGTTTTAGTTTCGTCCTAAACATCTTTTTTCTTCTCAATGTGTTTTTGATACTACCACAATTCTGGCGTTCGAGGTGAGCTTCCGCTCATGTGAAGGATGCTACAGGTTCTCTCCCTTCGCGGACTCTCTGTCTTTTGCCCAACACTAAACTGGAGGCATAAAGACTAGTAACTGTGCTCTCACTAAAATTTCATTGGTCGAGTGTTATTTTTTCGCTTTGGGTTACGACTTTTCAAAGTGATAGAACTATAGATATATATAAATGAGACAGTGACATTGTCAGCTATGGACACCGCTTTTCCGATGACCTTACCTTTCACACAAAGACAAAGACGCTTATTCTTCCGGAACACCTGGTCCTATTCTCCTTGTCCTTTATTCAGGAAACTCCATGTAAGTCTTTCTTTTTGATCATAGTTTGGATTATGATTGTGATGAAATAATGGTATTTTCTTGTTGTTGTTTTCAACAAACTAGTTTCCCTGTCTTTGAGCTTTCAATTCGTTTTTAAATGTGTTTTTGGGTATCGGAACTTGTCGATTAGTTTATGCACCATCCTGTCACATTTCTGACCTTTTCATTAACACAGTTGAGTATACTGTGTCATAGTAACTGAAAAACATATATGGTGTACGCAATGGCACCTATATGATAAAACGTTCTATTAATTAGTAACAATGTGTATGAATAATAACTGAAAGTATGAGTGTATCTGCCAGGATTATCTTGCCATGTGGGCAACAAGACAACGTTTTTATATGGAAACATCCTTTTTTGGCTGGAGAGTGATGCGTTGTACTAACATTCATGTTCTGTAGAGCTTTGTTGTATACACCCGATGTTGACGCGATATAACTTGTTTGATTATTGATTTATTGTCACAGTTTCATAATTTACATGTCATTGTTTAAACTCGATGGCGAGATAAACACGACCTCTATTTTATGTGAATAATAATGTATCACCAGCTGAGAATACCAGTTCTTCCTGAAGGGTTATCGATACGTTGATGTTCAGTTAAATAAACGTTTTTTCAAACTTTAAACTGTGTTTAATAATAATTCTGACTCAAACCAGTTATGTGCCATTATCTAGGAAATAACCTAACCTGAACTAGGTTGCTTGACATCTCACCATATCGCCTTTTGTGACATTGAGTTCACTTTTCTTTTTCCAGTGATGCTTTTACAATCACAATAAATATATTTTTTGACGATAACTTTACAATTATAATAAATAGTTTTTCTGATAATAAATTTAAAATCACAAAAAAAAAAAAAAAAAAAAAAATATTATTCATGGAAATAAGTAATTCGATATGTCACTAAACATTGGCCATGGACAGATGCTTATACAATAGATACCATATATTTTTGTGTTTGGGACCTTTGCTCCTCGCTATAACAAAGGTCTTGTGAAGACCTTGTTCATGAAATACGGTTCTTTTTTTTGAGTCATCAGACTGAAATAGTTTGACTGCATATGCTAGTCTGACACCTAACACAGGGACGATAAAGGAAGACATTTAATGATATGGTCTTTGTTACAAGTGATTCGGCTAAATAGGCATTTTGAAGTCTCTTGTAAAAGCCCCCGATAAAATCAATTTATCTATTTTGTATATTTACTTACGTCACAGGTGACGTCAATTTCCAGAAACAGATATATTTAGGTAACCATAATACATATAACACTAATCCTTTTAGTATTTGGATTGAAATTCTATCGATTATGTACATAATGCATCGATAATAGCAATGAATCAATTTCCATGACAATAAGGTGAATGGCAGTAAAATTGATATTTTCTCTGCTATATTGTTTAATTCTGAATACCTTTGTTTCGGGTAATTATGGCTAGTTATAACAGATAATATTATTTTTTTTTTAAATATCAGTACTGTATAAAGGTACAAAATTTGAAATAGACCGTAGACCCAGTGACCTTGAATCTTTTACCTTTGCCTTTTGTCAGTAGAGTTGTTCCAACCTACGTTGTGATCAGCAACCTTGTTCCAACTTCAGTACAGTGATTACTACAGGGTAAAATAATATCTAAAGAGCAACAGTTTGCTTTGAGAATACAAGAAGATGACGGTAACAAAATTGAAAAATTGTTACTAAAGAACTATTAAAGATTTCTCACTGCTACATGCCAGATTTCTTCTTCCTTTGTTCCAAAATTGGCATAGATTTATATAAAGAGCTTCGTTTGCGAATGAAGTAGGAAACACTAAATTTCTATTTTTATTTAGTAATCAATTATTTACCCCGTTTCATCAACTTCGAGTTTCTGTTGTTGCATAATTAAAGGTCAGATAAATGTCACAATGTTTAGCTATTTCGTTTTCATTATAAGATGATCGGTTGGGGTGTCAATATTGTTACATATCTGTATGATGCCACTTTAGAAACATCTGCCGATGACCCTCTCTTTCGTCATCGTCATTATAGCAGTCTTTTTGTTGGGAGGATTTGAAAATACAAACCTTAAGTGGTTAGAGAGCATTTGATGATATACATATACTCAACACGATGGTCTTGTACGTGGAAAACAACGAAGAAAGTACATTCATGGAGGGCAAATACTGCAAATACTGCTTATTGTCCTGTATCGTATTGTTTAACGAATATCTAAATATCAGTCAACATGATATAGTTACAAAAGGAAACTCCCGACATCTCAATGTAATCATAATTCGAATTCGATGAACAAAGGAATTACTCTTACAAAACAAATCTTCGAAAGATACAAATATAATATGACCAAGTGTTGCTGATGTTTAAGCGTCTTCTACTTCACATAAAACATCCACCACAAAAAGCTTATATCTAATAGTATACACGCTATACACGCCCAACAACATATCGAACAAGGAATTAGAATTTTTTTCAATCATATCCTTGTGACTACCATAAAACACCCCCGTAATCTGCATCAACCCAATGTGGACATGTGCTAATTCCGATGTTATGATACAATGTAATGACTGTTTTGCCACGAGCGTGCAATCGTTTAAAACCACCCGGCCATTCATCATTCGTTACAGATTAAAAAAAAAAGGTTATGGTGTTAACTCAATGTAATTCTATTTTGAATAACTTGATGGTGTCGTAAAGTGCAGTTGGATCTGACGGATATAAGTGTGTTTGAATCCTAATTATTAAAGCATCAATTATTAAATATGTGATTTGATGTAAAGGCAATGTATTGTGACTGAAAGGAACTATACACAGCAGGTATACCATGCATTCACTCAAACTAGTAGTTGCTATTTCAGTCTTTATAAATTCACATATTCACGTAATCATCAACATGCACAAAGAATCAATTTAGAAACAAACATATAACAAGCAACAAACCGATAGCAAGCAACCAATGGCTAACTAGCAACAAACCAGTATCAGGCAGCAAAACATAGCAAGCAATAAATAAATAGCAAGCAACAAAACAATAGCACATTCCAAAAACCATATGTGAATGAGATGTAGTTGGCACATACTATACAAAAGTACAACAAATTCATAACCGTTATTTGTTCCGATTTATGATCACCGGAAGGCAAATTAAACTACATCAATGCGTGATGACAATTTGTCTGCAAACTTCTACCATGTTTCAGGAAAATGACTGTTTAAATACTTGTATTTAGATTTTTGATAATCCAAAAGCCAAAAATTTTATGAATCTCATACGAAAATTTTATATCGGTGTGGATGTTTCATTAGTAGGACAACCAGGGAAAATCTTCTCTTGTATTTGGAACAACAGAATGCAGCACGAAATTTTTAAAAAATTGTTTTTATATAACAAAAATTAATAATAATGAGTATTCCTATCAATTCAAATTGTTCTTACAAATGAGAATAGAAAGCAATGCTATAATAATAATATAAAATGTTTGAATCAGTTCTGTTTTGTCATTGAACGCTGCGTAGTACTTGCGGAAGTATTCCAATAAAAATTATTTGTCCAGAATAAACAAGAACTGACACATTAAATGATCAGGATGTATATGACCACATGGTAACTAAATCGCATGACAACATGGTCAGGCTAGACTGCTTACATGAAAAACACAACACAATTATTTTTTTTAATAATTTCTCGAAATGGTCGGCATTATGAAGTGTAAGATACGTTCGGAGCTATCTATCGGAGACAAGAGTTGTTATCAGGATATTGCATGTACTGTCATGAATCTTTTGGTAGAATTGTCAACTGCAAAATGCCTGAAATCGAATTTTGAGTGATATTTAACAATGTTATCATACCTGCACACTCCCTCTACCCAACCACCACCCCCTATTCCATTAAAAAAAGTAAATCAAAATATAATTCCATTGCGGATCAAGAATTTAATCTTAAGAATTGCTCCTCGTCTTCCATTTGATATTGTTTGACTCATTAACCGACTGTCGATTACATCAACATAGATTCTATAGAATTCTAGGAAGAATAGATTACATTATCAGTGAGTGAAAGGTGTGCAATCAATATCTTACACATTTCATGAAATATGTGAAAGATGATGTATTGATCATATCCATAACTATGCATAAACTTTATTAGTATAGGAAGAACAGTGAATACTTCATGCAAACAAAGTATAAATGAGCGAATAAACAGAAGCACCGGACATGTACCTAATGGGGACTATTTCAACTCTGTGTTGTGAGACAAGTGTTGATATTGTTGCTGGTTTCTTTTAAATGATGTATAAGCAAATATTGAACAATGATAAAATATTATTAATCAATTTTTTTCATGATATCTTTGTTTATCGGACAAGTCTCGACGTGTTGTTGGGACATTTTTTATTCACTTTATATTCTTGAAGGTAGCTAAAACCAGTATCTTTTCCTTTCGTGAAAACATGCGATTTTATAACTTTATCACTTAATAACTTAACAACATCAATTGATCTTCATTTATCTGCCTTTTGTACAATCTTTAAGATAACAGGTGTTACTATTGTTGGTGACCTTTAAGTCCCCGAGGTGTCGTATCCTGCTTGCCACATTTTAATTCATTCGAATAGTCACAGTTAGGAAAATACACATATACTTGACGCTGTTCTAAAATTATCTGATGTATGAAAATGACGAAATTTATTTGATTATCGGGCTGTTGCACTTCCCCGTCTAAATTTTGATTTTTTTAAAATCGTTTTGTCTTTTCCTTAGCCGTCTCCTACGCTTCAAAATTTAGGCCCTTAGCATCACTGACGTGTCTGACATGTTTTCCAGTCATATCTAAGTAACAAAATGACCTTGATTTTTCCAGACTCATTACCTGTTTGTTAGGATGTCAAATAGGACGCGACAAAAAATAATGATATTCAAATATCGATAATAGACAAAGCTCTAGACATATATAAGTATGGAGAGCATGGGAACATTAATTCAGCAATAGGTATGCCATATGCTAAATAATGCAACCATGTAGTACATACATGTCCATTGTATACCAACACACGATATGGTAATAGTCAATTGATTTTGTTACCAAGTATAACAAAATATATTGATACAATTATTGTTCGTAACTCTATTATCGATTCAGTATTTGATTATTAAAACACTAAATTGAAAACCAATTTAAAATATATTGATGTTTTTTGTGGTAAAATTATATCTCAAAATACAATACTCGTCCTTTTTTGTTTTATCTGGAAACCTCTTGAAATTAATAAGGTAAATTGAAGAGTGAATCAATGTGCATCTTGCCCTATACCCTCATGTCATTTCAATGTAAGCAATGGGCTGATATTCAACCGTGTCCACAGTTATCTCATCTTCGTTATATGACACTATAAAAGTGTTCGTCCGCTGCCCCATCCTCAACGGATACAGTCATTATACGACGCTTCCCTTTGCCAACTTACGAGGACGTGAAATTACAAACAATTTAGCTACTTATATAGTGTATAACATTTCATAGCCTTTCTCCTTGAATATTCGCTTTGTATAACCAGACCAGTTTTTTTCTACAAATCTTTGACATTGTAGATTGAGTTTATTATGACATGATATCAACGTGGCTACTTTTCCCTGTCTTGTATTTTGCGGATACCTTCACCTCCCAACCATTATGTTGGTCAATTCTGATTAACCCTGTCGTATTCCAGGTTTTAACAATTCAGGTCAACACAATCACGGAGGAGTCCTTAATATTAAGTCGGCATATTTAGCTCCATCACTTCAGCTTTTTTAAATGATAAAGTCAGTTTACTTAAGTTTTCGCTTAAAAATGTAATAATATTTTGAATACCTTTTTCTTTATTTTTTTTAGATCGATCGGAAAGGATTCTGTATCTGAACGGTCAGCCGATGTCAGAAGATCAATACACTCTGGTGAGTATGTTATTGTTGATTAAATTACCTCGTGGCACAATATTTTGTTAGCATCTTGAGAAGAAGTTGTAATTATAGTAACAGAGTTAGCTAATGTTATGCTATACGGTCTATCGACGAATCGTGGCAAACAGCACTTCACTACGATTACCTTTCTAATAAGAAAAATTGCAACATCCTAAAAGTGAATGAATCGCCAGATTACCTCATGGTTCGATAAGAAATGTATTTCCTCTGCTCAATTAATGATTGATCTAAATTACAATTTTCCATGAGTGACTTAAATCGCACAATCAAAAATTAATTAACTAATCACTGCATTCGAAAAGTTGTCCATAGCTTCGATTGATTGCTAGCTGAAATGTATGATTTCAATGACAAGCCAATCACCAAATCTGTTACACTGCAAAATCATACCGTTTCACAAGGCTTACGTTGTATAAAAATATACATTTCCATATGCACCTGATTTCATTGATTAATATTGCTTTACGAAATCAACCTGTACTATAACCATAAAAAAGTTTATCTGCTTTCATTTCGAGCAATAGAGTAACCACTAATTTACCGCGTTCCTAATGTTAGTTCTCCTACTCCTTCTTAAATGCTTCATGGATTTCATTAGGATGAAGTGGTGTCTAGAATTTGCAATTACCATTTTTCGAGTTGATACATATATTATGGAAAAACACCAACCGAACTTGCAATCAATATAACAACAGCTGTACCTCGAGGTCTGCTTCTTCAAAGATAAGTGCTTTGATTTGGTTATTCTTTCACATTTTCTGTAGATTTGGAGAAAGTAGTGTTAAAATCTTGAAAAAAAACAACAAGAAAATACTATCTTTTGTAACCCTGGGTCACGAGTTTGTCCGCCAGTTGACGACTTCTTGCATAAAAATCGTGAATGGGAACAGACCCTGGCATATTGAATCCATTGCAACATGTGCACACCATACAATCGGTATGCAGGGATGTCTCTATTTCGTCCTTTTTGCATGTTTGTTCTTCAATCTTTATGTATTTTTTTACGTAATACGTTTCCATTAAAATTCACAACCATAGGGTTGTACCGCTATTCACCTTTCATGGAAAAGAAAACTCTGATAACAAGAGAACGAATACGTTCGTTCAGTTTAGAATGTGATAAAATGATGTTTCCTATAGATGAAATGCATTTTAGAAGATGTTGTTGAAGACTGATCAAAAGCTCTGTTGAATCGACATACTATTAATTCCATTCTTGAGTAAGCAGTATTACAATGAGGATTCTGTCTCATCTCGGCTTGAGTGAATAACGATGCGTTGAAGGGTCATTTCTCCTGATCTAATACGTGATTCTCACTACCATTTACTTTAACATTTTGTTTTAAAGATAAGTTGACTGTCAAGTCTAATTAGCTTAATATCCAATGCATGTGATCTGTATCGAGAGTAATTCTCCCAATGATGACATTCAATTTGAGTACATTTCTGCACTCATGTGTAGACCTATCATTCTTTTTATATAATTTCACCGGCCATAAAATTAAGTATCCATTTGTGAAAAGAAAGAGTAATGTAGAATCATCATGCCCCCGCTTCCTATTGAACTCCCAGCCTTTTGTTTTCAAGACAAATCAACAAAACACATAGCGGCATAGAATTAGCCCACAAGGGTTAAGTCCAGACCAATGGTTTAAGTCGATCGACACTCAGTTGTGAATAAAGTGTTCAAAGAACTTCAAACACAGCGTTATTAAACTGAAACTAATAATTGTTTATCAAGGTTGAACTTTGGTGTTCGTGGATAGTCGTAAAAAACAGTAACGTCAGTGAACTTTGGTCCGCATGATGCTGTCTAGCCGCTTTTAAGTCAGTAACTGTATTGATTTCTTTTAACCGTTTTGCATATATAATGATCCCTTACTTCGATTTTCGTTGAAATTGTATATAAGCATATTTCGGCCACATAAGATTTTTGTTAACTCGAAATTTTGAATTAGTAATTCGAAATTTGGAGATAATTACTCGATATTCCGAAAGGAAAGCGTAACTCGGAAATTGGAGATAGTAAATCCAAAAAGTTTGAGAGCGTAACCTGAAACGTTGAAAGAATAGCCCTTGCTAAACATGTATGTGTGTCCATACAATGCTAACACAGTGAATTACAAGAATATTAACAAATATAATCATTAACAAATAACTGAGTTTAAATATTTACTGGATGTTAATGTTTTAGTAGTAATAATAAATAGTAATAGTAGAATGTCCATGCCCCTTGTCTGAAAAGGAAAGATAAACGCATTATATTAATTATGTCTATTCCAAAAGATTAAAAATGGTTTGATTTCAAAAGACGTTCTTGGGTAACATAATCGCTACAATTACGGCAGCGAAAACGGATATTTATTATTCCGTTTTTACATATTTCGATAATTGACACTTATGCTTTAATAAGACATCATTTCTTGGAACATGGCGCCCATTGAAAGGCATATAACGCCATTAAAATTGTTCAGTTTAACACTTCAAATATGTCCACACTATTCACTATTCCTCTTTCATGGCATTGACGGTGTATTAGACAACACGTTGCAACAGTTAAACACAGTAAGATTACATATCATTCAAAATTAGAGATTTTAATGTTTTAATATGTGTTTTAATGTATTGATGGAGAACACGCATGGAATTTTCCGCTCTCAAGGTTTAAATGACGAAACTTGCTTTCTATAAATAAAACTTCCCCCATATTTCGACTCACAATTTCGAATTGCTCTCTCAAAATCTCTCGTTACTCTATCAAATTTGCGTAACTATCTCAAAATTTCGAGTTACTATTTTGAAACTTTTGAAAACGCTTCCGTATATGCGTGCAACGTTTTTATTGGAAATTTGGCTTCAATGCTGTTATGTTTTTAAAAAGTAACACTAACATAACGATAGATATAAACAAAAACACAATAGTAGAATTCACTCTGAATATCTCCGACAGCAAACAGTAAAGGAATTATTTACTGAATTCCATTAGCCTAAAATTTGTTTAGATTTTTTTTCAACAAAAACTTATGTATTCGACCTGAAATGAGTATTTAAAACAGACAAAATAGTAAAAGTACTTGAATCGATCTGCGGTTCAGACATTTATCATTTACGTAGAATGGTTTGCAGATTAATGTTATTTGTGCCACTAGGCGATAGTTATTGATTTCCTGATGAGCTATGGATTTTTCTACCCTTATATGTTGATACGCGTGCCTGTGCAATATTCTCTCTTTGAAACCCAACTGAATATATTATTGATGGCATATATTAAATAAACCATGCTAGGTATATGGCATATCGTTCTGTCTCCTTTGGCTTTGTGCCAAGATAACTTTAAATATATTGATTGTGCTGAAGCAGGCAGTTTTTCATGATTTGCAACTATAAGGAATATAAATGTAGATATGGATCATTGTTGACATATACACCACCCATATGAAAAATAAATTCTGATCGCAATATTCATTCAGAGGATTACAAAAATATTCTATCCTGTTTGAACTTATCGATTTGAAAGCAAATCCATTGACTTTATCATCTCAGGAAGTGTGAATGACGTCATAATTCTATTTCTAACTCCGGATTGAGATTAATAACCATAAGTAGACCTTTGATGTTTATAAATCCATGCGAATGAAAAAGGACAACACTTGCGGTTTGATACTGTGGAAAGCTACATTTCATGCATCTGGAGGTTTGCTTAGTGGCTGGAAAACGGCCATATTACTGTTGTTATCAAGTCATCCGATTGACTATGCATGCAGTGTCTGAATTCCTTGGAAAGTCGGATAGTGTGCATATTACTTGATGTTCTTTGTGATTATCTATCCATGAATTATATATTTAAACGATACGAGCATGATGTCAAGATGACAACTCCCATGTATGGTCCGGGTAGTTCATGTCCTTCCAGCCTAGAAACACTTATGATCCTGACTGTTGATGCCCCGCTCTTCAATCGTCCTCATATGCTCCTCCTAGCGACATGTTTCTACGTTATTTGATTGTTGTCACCTAAACAAAAACTAAAACCACTCAAACTGTCATTCCAGGAAATTTGATTGAGTCATGATGTAATTAGATAATCTTATATGACATAACCATAAATATTGGCCTTGTTCCAAAATTGTGAAATACAAATCAATATTGTTAAGTTGATCTTCACTTACTCATTCTCACAGTTAACACACTAACCTCTTCGCGTAAGTTTTTTTCTTTTCACAGGTTGCTTGTTAATGTAAATAACTTTATCTGACTTTCTTATGATATTCCGTCCTATTACTTATTGTAGGCATTCTTAATCATATTAAGTATAATCGTTTGTATGCATACTATAATATAGAGATTGTCCTATCTTATGTATAACCTATACTGTAATATCATATAGAGGCTGTACTATTTTTTGTATAACCGTCAAATAATACAGGGACTATCTTATCTTGTGTATAACTGTAGAATAAACTCGAGACTATATTATCTGGTGTATAACCGTAAAATGATATCGAGATTGTTTTATCTCGTGTATTATCGTGAAACAATATAGAGAACTTTTTATCTCGTGAATAAACGTAAATAAGCCCGATACCATTTTATTTCGTGTATAACCTTAAGATAGGATCGAGACTATTTCATTTCGTGTATAACCATTATATAATACAGAGACTATTTTACCTTATTTGAAACTGAAATATGATATACGTAATAGTTACCGTGTATGTAACTGTTTAACAAGATAGAGATTGGTTTTCTTGTATGTTGCCGTACTATTATATCCTATGTTAGTTTGTACGCGTGTAAAACATGTCATGATATGTTGGTTCACCTGCATGAGTTTCTTCTTTGTCTTGTCTATCGCACATTGAAATGTCTGACATATCAACGGAAAAACCATATACCGAAACAGCCCATCGTCATTGTAACCAGAGGTACCTCAGTATATTACTACATCTTTGTTTGTCCATGTTGTTTGAGGAGTTCTGCATGTTTGAAATGGAAAGTTTGCTTATGATTTTTTATTTTTCTGTTTTTTTTTCGCCACCATGATTCAATTGTTGGAATTTATCAAGCGTCCTTTTGTCCATCAATGTTAATCTTAATATGGCATGTCTATACTGACGAACACACAGAGTAATTTGAGAACTGAATACGTGTGGAGAAAAGATTGATGTAATTCGCTTCTTAAAGGGAAGGTATAGTGATTTTTTAAAAAAAACCTACAGAATATAATTTTTACAGCCGTCGAGGAAAATAATGATGGCAATGATTCATCGCAGATATTAGAATACAGGATATGCAATAAACATCCTGTGGTGTCAACGGCCGTAATGGCAACGCTCCAAATTTCTTTTATTATTATGCACTATAGAACTGAATCTATTGGAAATGACATAATGCTAATCACAGGAAATTGGAAGGTTGTTTTGACACAATTAACTATCGAAATAGCTATAATTTAATTCATTCAGAAGCTAGATTGAGTGTCTGTAACTGTAGGGTTCACTGAAAAAAACATGTAAATGTCCATTGTGTTCTCTTCATGGAAAAAACTATTTATCTGATTCATAAAGCATAAAAATATTCGTTCGAATGGCTGACATGGACTTAAATATAATTTCAATATTGGATAGACGATCATGATGATATGGAATTGATGTAACAGAAAATTGATGATAAACAACGAAGAGAAACAAAAACTGATGATAAGGAATAATTCAGTCTGTTACGCAACATTTAAGAAAATAAGATTCGTCTGATAAAATAAAGGCCTTGTATAGGTGATGACATCAAAGACGAAAACAGCAGACACCGAAGGTATAGCAAATATAGGGTGTTAAAACTGGAGATAAATTAAGATAGAAAGTTGATGGAGCAACATAACTAAGTATGTAACTTAGAAAAGTGCAACACAACAAGACGACTCCACAACGAATAACAGTAAATGAAACAAAAAACACTCAAGAAATATTGAAAAAGCAATCGCGTTTTAATTTGAATTTTTACAATAAAGAACAAAAGTATTTTCATAGTAACACGCCGATCAACTTTCCTCAATAATATCAGCCTATTGATAAATAACCTTACCTTTGAACAATATAACTTCATAAATGGCTCATTGAAGGAAATACAAACATGGCAATATAATCATATTCCAAATAAAAAATTCCTCAAAACTAGGGCAAAAAAATGAAAAAAAGAGATTTACACGGAGACTTTTGAAAATGTACAAAGACCATGTACTCCGATAGAGAATTCGTTTTCTACTTCATAAACGACACCATCTTTGCAAATCTTGGTCAATCCAAGTGAGTTATGTCACGTTCTCAAATGAAAACAAGATTTACAACAACGGAACCAACAGGCAAAGTACTGAGCCTCAAACACGTTCAACTTCATATCACACAAAGAAATAGAACATTTCGCAATAAGATCATCAATGCGGCCTTAAATCTTCCCCATAATTTTCTTCAACCTGCATCATTGAACTCATGTGTTACGAGTTTTTCCGTCAGTTGACGACTTCTTACACGCAGTAATGGGAATACCGAATCAACTGTAACAAGGTAATACCAAAGCTGAGAAACGTCTGAATGCTTTAAGAGTATATGAGCAACGATTCTTGACAGGTTAATGACCTAGTTACATTAATCCTGTTCTGGTCAAATTAACCTCTAATCAGTGATTTTATTCTTCATTCTTGTTCACCAACGATTTAAGGATCAGTCAATATGTGAACTCCAAGGAATCATAAAATTTACACCAAGCTAGGAAAATGGAAATCATATTAAGAAAAATTCAGACATTTCTAAATGTTGATAATGAGAGAGCAGCGTCGTCTATAGGCAATGTAATAAGACATTATTAGTGATGATAAAACAGTGTCAAGTAGGAATCTCGGAATTAAAGGTAAACTATGTGTGATTTCCAGTCATTGCACATGTTATCATAGTCCTTACAAGTCAGCACGATCAAGTTCAGAAACCCCTTCAAAGATTGTTCTATAATTTCACTTAGAAAGCCTTTTTTCACATGTGGCCATGGAATGTTTCTGCAACATTTCATCGGTATTAATGAGGAAAATTGAAGTTTTCAAAAGAAATTAAAAAGTATTTTTCGAAAATAGAATTTTCAGATTACGCAAAACCAGAGACGACATACCATATGTTTTGGACTTGTTCCGTCACAGGTCTTATAAACCCAATGTTCGGGTATATCTATACAGAAAGAAACCAGATTCTTTTCCTCTCCTTGTAAGATGCCAAATAATAGGATCCAAACGTTTTAAAGCTCTTAATCAAAATATATATGTTTGAGAATACCCGATATTAAAACTTGTAAAATCTTTACTAATAAGATATCCAAGAGGGGTCTTGGCGTTTGTTTGAAAAGTTTGAAAATGCTCCTCACTTTGACGCTCACTCATGTCAAAGATGGCCCAATCCCGGCCATTCTCTTTCTTGATCAGTTCCAGGATCAAAAGAATACAACTTAGTACCAGGGGAAACCTTCATATGAAGTGTGAGAAAGATTCATCCAGAGATTCTCAGTCCCAAAATGTTAAGGATACAGGATGGCACCAAAAGAAACCAGCATATGAAATTTGAGAACAATCAATCCGGCATTTCAACAAATTAACAATATCATAAACTTTCAAAGCCAAATCCGAGATGCCCTTGTCAGCCATTCTTGTTTTTTGTCAGTTTCAAAATCACAAGGGCACTAATACATGCTATTTAAGGGATATGCTTTCTGTATCTCTAGAAACATGGAAATTACAACTTTCATTATCAGAATCCAAGATGGTCGCGTGTCAGCCGTTTCAATTTATACATCATTTTCAAGTTCAAAAGGCCTAAGTGGGAGCCTATGTATTAAATTTGAAAAAAAATATGCTTTTCAAGAAATACCGATAACGAGGATTTCCTACTGACGGACGACGGATGACAGACCACTGATGTAAGACGATTTGAGTAACATTTTACAATTGTATTTAGACTATAGCCATCCCCTTAACACTATTCAAAAGGCCCAGAAAAGGACAAGCTTTTACCACATGCAACCAAATATCAGAAAATGCTCGTCTGAACTAGTCATCATGTCAGTGAGTGCAAGTGACGGTATGATTATGTCTAAAAGTTACGTTTCAGATCAACTACAAAATCTATAGCTACATCACAAAACATCATTTTCATAAAAATGCTTATTTGTTGTAGAAGGAGCTGCATGGCGGAAAGGTCCTTAAGATCAACTTCGACACTGATGGATTCAAATGCGAGATAAGGTCTTGTTTAACAGAAATGCCTGACGACCAGAATCAGACCCTCTTTGTTAATGGAAATCGCATACAGTTTGATGACGAAGGTGACGATTTTGATGCCGAGTAAAAGCTTGGATTGGTTTTGAAGAGGATACCTCTGTATTGTGCCTGTGATAAACAACTTTCTCTTAGATTTGATATTAAATGTTTTAAAAGATATATCTCCATGTTGGCAGTCAACGTGTCCAATATAGCACACTTGTCAATATTGACATTTTTGTATGTTTTGGTATGTATAAGATTTAGATTTGTTGCAATCGCTTTAAAAAGTATTTTTTGTCCTTTTTTAACCAATAACCAAAATCTGGACATTAATAAGTGTACATTTTGTCAGAAGTTGTTGCATTATTAAGCACTTCCTGTAATATAAAAGGGATGTTATACATATGCTGTTTAATGCGATTGTCTTTATTTATTAGGGTTTAACAAGATTCCAGGCTTCGATAATTATACACTTTTCAAAAAAAATCAAATCACTTAATACTTCTAATATAAAAGAGACAATGAAATATAATTGATACTGACGTTTGAAACAACTGAACACAAGATTGCATTGTGTAGGCCTCACTAATACGTATGTAATTTCAAACGTTAACGTAATACACTGTGCATTGCCTCTACGTTTAATTATAAGCATACAATTTCCAGTTGGTCAGTTGTATTATCCTATGTGAAAGGATATTTAGTGCGATATGGACGAGAGGCAAATCCTTATTACAAGAGCAACTTTCATGTATATAGTAGAATGATACCATTCCCTGTTGTATTGTAGTTTTGGTGTGAATTGAGCAGTAATATTATTGTCAGAGCTGAATTATTTTATAGTTTTTATTTTTCAATTTGATACATTTTAATGGCATGATGTTCTTTATCAGTAAGTTGTTATTAGATTGATATATTAAACTGCATTGTCTTGTTTTTATTGTTTAAAGATGATTCATTTCTCCTACCTCTGCAGGAGATTATCTATTTTTCTCCATTATATCTACTTTGAAAATTACATTAATTATATCGTAATTGTTAATGGACTAAATAGTGAGTTGAAGACATGATGATATGGTGTTAATATATATTACATCATGAAATAGAGGAAATTAGAACTGCATCTCTAAATATATATATAATCTGCATTCCGGAGAATATCAAGTCCATATAATTTTTGTCATTTTTGCATATTCTCTGTAGATTTATATGGATATTATTTATGTTTGAACTTTCGGGTCAGAGTTGGGAATCAACGGAAATTACATTTTCGCTTTTAATACTGAGAAGCAGGCCTCGGCAAAATTTGTTCTTATCACATTTTTAAATAGGCAATGGTAGAAATTTCATATTGTTCATGTTTTAATAGGATTTTCATTAAAAATCAGGATTGAGCTTTACATCTGTAAATTTGTCCTTGAAAAATATGACAATTGAGAAAATCAAGGTGGTGCCAAGTTGTTCGTACCAAAATGGTTTTTGGTAGCCATCAGTAAAACGTCCTAGAGAGACGTAACAGTTAAGGTGCTATACACGTGTGTGTCATTTGCACTAGCTTTTTCTCGAGGAAAAAATACCATTTTGTTTTGTCCTACAAATTAAACACATCAGTGGACACTAAAATACTCTAAACATGCACAGAAAATTGAGTTACTGGTGTGAGCATGCGAATGACGTTTACCCCAAGCATCTGACATACAAAGATAGTTAATTCAACGAAATGATTGACCATGATAGTATTCAAGTTATTTTAAATGTGTGTATTGTTTGTTCATGTCATACCATTCCTCTAAACAGCTAGACAGTTAGACAACTAATCACCTGCCTGCTTAGTCAAACATTTGCTAACTGGATATTTGATTTTAAAAAAAGAAAGAAAATCACGCATTTTAAACGTTTTGAAATATGAAACATTTGAACCAGGTGAACTGATTAAGCAAATTAAAAAAACAAATGAAATTAACATTCAAATCAGAAAGGAAACGCATTTATGTGTAACTGAATACGTTTGCATATTACACAGGTTGTATAATATGTTACAAATTGAGATAAATACAGTCTACATAAAAATTGTCAGTAAACTATTGACTTGGGATGTCAAACAGTTATCGTTTAAAACGTGTATATTGATCAATATTGTTTTATTTTCAGTTTCCATATTGAAGTTTGTATATAGATATTTCATGAAATACGGTCTTTTCTCATGTTTGTCATATTAAAGTGTATAATTAAGACACGCACATTTATTGAATTTACCTTGCGTTGAAGTGTCTATGTGTAGATAAGATGTTATGGAAAACAAAAACAAACAAAAAGAAAAACAGTTCGTGGTTGTTTCAGAAAATAGTTGGAATTTATTTTGATGTTTTTTTTTCAAATATCTAAAAGGTCGACAGCAAATTTGATTAAAAAGGTCATTTTATGAAATTAAAACTAAGTCTTGGAAATCTCGCGTTTGTCAACAATTCTTGAACAAAATAAGAGCGGTAAATGAAATACATAACTTGCGCCATTTTCTGCGTACAATAAGACAGCAATAAAGCTTTCGCAACTTCTATCAATTGTATTATCATATCAATGAAATGTTCCGTTCTTTATTTTCGAACTTGATAAGTAATATGTCAATTTAGTAATGTGTGTAGTATGTTATCGATTGTTTTATAAATGTTTTTAATGTGAAATCATTTTTTTCATAATGTTAAATATATCGTTTTAGATGAAGGCTTTACAAAAGTTGGATACACTTTCATTGAATGAATGTAAGTCATAAGCTATTATAATTGAATTTTGTTATTTCCGTACCATCCTTAAGCTTTGATATGCTAATACATTATATTTTCCAAAGTATGCAAATCAAATTAATGAATTTATGAAAGTATTTCATTATTAGAACGATTTTTACAGTATATTTTATAAAAGGCTATTTTACAACAAGAACATGCCTCCATCCTGATGTTAAATAAACTGTATGGAATTACTTTGAATTTACTTAACCCGTTTGATTAAATAGTATTTTGATTGGCTTAACATCGTGTCGATATCAAATATACCGTAGGAACAAAAGAGCAGTTCTATGCTATATACCATAAACAAAGTCACTTTAGCTTTTATCGCCTGCACATCTCAAAAAATGTTTGACCACTTAACTTGATGCAGTCACTAATTTTTCAAGATTTGATTTGGAAATTATGTATTTATAATTGAAATTTGTTATTTAACTTACCTTTCTTGTTTAATGTGTGGAGTTCGACACCAAATAAAAAAAATCCCTTTGATTATTATAGTGTTATTACTGTTTAAATAACTGAAATTTGTATAAATTTCACACCTGCATAAAGATAATATTAAAATCGTTCCTTACTTATACAGCATCTGTGTTATTCAAATCCACAACATTTTGATTAAGGTATTATCATCTTCACGTGTGCAGTTAAATTTGTATAAGTTACAAAATTATTATTTTTACCTGAGGGAATGAATACAAGGGTTCATAGAAGATAAATATGTTATTTTGTAATACAATGACCCATTTGCCCAATCGCGTACTTAATACGCTTATAAAATGTCAGGGTTTAGGGAACAATATTACTGACAAAGATAATCTTATCAATCTAGCACTGTAGTATAAAGTAACAAAACCAAAATTTTATATGTAATAGTCCGTGATGCAATTAGAAATATAAAGAATTCAATATAATTCAAATCAAACATAAATGCATTATTAATATACCATATCGAAGCCCAAATGCACTTTACCTATTTTAGATATCTAGCAGACTAGTAGAATACATTGTGCTGGTTCAACGGAAAAATAATTCTTAATCTTACAATAGATATTGGTAATCCAAACGAGAACATGTTTTGATAAACTAGAAATAATAGAACTTGTCAACATTTGTTTTCCTCAAAAGTGGTAATGTTCAGTGTGATGTATGCTGCTGGTTGTATTTCGGACGGGAAGGGAAATGGTGAGATGTGGGTGCATTCATGTTGGTTTTAGATCATCATTCATCTTTGTTTTAGGAATGCTATACGACTTGTTACACATTTCAAATTAGTATGTAAAATGAACGGTACAATAAAAGAATTGTACTCATTTCGAGATTTCTTGTTCTTTTTCCAGGATCATTTATTCTAAATTTCCAGTCTCCAAACTTTCCTTTGATCGTGTACATTACGACTGGTTTGGGTGTCAAGTTACGATATGTTGGTAACTATCATATTACAGGCAAATTGGTGTGTGATGCAAGCCACTGTATCAATAACACTTGCACAGAAATGGGCTATAGTATGTAACGTTGCTTTGGTACTGTACTGTTTGAAGGACATTCGACATATAATTAACTGAGGTCACATAACGTGCACTTGACGTTCTAAAATTGTCAAATAGCAGTATGCCTCCTCTTCCAGCTTTTGACTTTTCTATCGATCACTTTGGATTTTCCTAAGTCGTCTCTCGGGCCTTACAGTATAGGTCTGCACAATCACTGACGAGTCCTAGAAGGGTGGAAGTAGTTAATTCATTGTCATAAAACTCGTAGCAATTTGTATTAAAAGGAGCTATTCACGTGTGTGCCTTTTATAAAATCACCAAAGCAACAAAAACAAAAAGGAATTCGCCTTCAAAAAGGACTTCTTCTTTAAAAAAGTACTTCTCCTTCATACGAACAACAAACCGCTTGGAATTCCCTCACAATATAACAGTTTATTTTGATAAAGCAGAACTCTCTTACTCGTCCGGAATATCTGGTCTTATTCTCCTTGTAGGTGCTCAGGAGTATCCGTGTGAATCTTTCTTTCCATCATATTTGACTTCGTTAAGAATATAATTAGTCTTTTTCCTTTTTTCTTCTTTTCATGAAATAGTCATGACGTCCTTTTATCATTAAGATCATTTGAGAAGAAAATTGTGAAGAGATCGTTAAGGGGAATAAAATTTATTAAAACATGTTCCTTTTAGACGAAAAAACTCATTCATTTTGATATAAGTATAATGACGTCGCGGAAATATCTGTTTTTTAAGTATGATAAATTATGTTATTTTATTTGAAAATGAATGTTGTATCAGGTGTCTGGTTTGCCTTATATGACAAGCATTCTGCAGTAGTTCATATCTTACGTAATGTTTATTTTTTTATGGGTATTGGAACACTAAATATGAATGTGCAATAACTCATTAAATGAATTGTAATAATTGATTATATCGATTTCCAAGTTGTTTCAATTTACTTTGAGAAGGAAACGGTTTTGTCCAATATCTATTTAAGGCGGAAAACCTGGTCTTATTCTCCTTGTACTTTTTCAATGGTCTCCGTGTAAATATTTCTTCTTTTCAAACTTAAACATAGTGGCATTGATTAACACTTCTAATATGTCGATATTCTCCTGGTTTTTTTTTATTCTTGAATGATATGAATCACTGGCTATGTCGATTCAAGTTAATTTTGAACCTGAAATAATTTAAGCACCTTTCCGAATATTGTGCAACAAGAAAGACAACTCTTGTCAATTGCAATTAACTATGTTTTCCTCCTTAAAATGCTTTATTCTTGCAGTAAAAACAACCCATTTTGAAGCTTTGCATATCTCGACCTGGGAATCCAAAGCTTTCCTCACACTGGCAATGAGTTATGAAAGGTCGACAATTAGGCAGTGTCTCCGGAGAAAGTAAATTAGATCATGATAAATGATATTTATCATTCAAAATATATTTACATACCCACTTACTATCAGTATAACATACCAGGTATGTTCACATCTGTTTTAAAGACACTACCCTTAGCATAATTATATGACTCCATTGTGTATACGTCTCATACTCTACCATCATAGCATCGACCTTTTCGGCAAAGTTGTTATTGTGAACGTATTATCAAATTATCTGCGATATTAAAATCATTTGGAGGACCCATTTTACTCTTACCAAAATCAGCTTGGCCCAGCAATCGAAAATAAATGACATTATGTATATCATATTTGTTCTCATGCAAATTGTCGAATACCAGACAATTCACGATTCATTGTTTAGGCTGGTTTAACATATCTGTATTTAAAATTCAAAATGTACGTTTTGAGTGCAATGTTCTTTTCACAAAGAGTCAAAGTTAACTATACAGTATTTACAACATATATAGAAAAAATACAACATCAATTTTACATCTATTTACAGTTCAAAATAAATTCAAGGCTATTACAAAATCATACGATGGAATAGAATGTACTGTATAATCATTATTTTTTGGAAATTAGTTTCATTATGTGTACAAAGAATCCACGAGTTCTTTTCCACGAAAACAGGTGTACGCGAGTATTTTTTGCTTTGTTTGTTAGTTTTTTCTTTTTCTTTTTCCCAAAAACCCAGGCATATTTAGCTCCTCAATATGTTTTACAGTATATCAAGTTTTTAAATGACTAATGCTAATGTTGTTGCATGTGAAGAATATAAACATCAAGCAAATGTCATTTTGAAAATTGTTTTCTCGGGGTTAGTAATGTTAACAGAATAAGCGTCCTTATAACACAACATTTAGAAGATTTGATCATGGCATTATCTATTGATGTATGAAATATTTATTTGGAACAATCAGTTCGCTTTTTAAACCATTGTACGGAATTGATACTACGGATATTCCCAGTGGAATAGGGATTTTGAAAATGATGTAAATTGTTTGAAGTTGACTCCCTTTATAACAAGATGGGTAATCAAAGTGATAGTTATACGTATCTAACAATTTGTGGTTGGCAATAATGGACTTCATGGATGTCAACTGATGAAAGCAAATTCAACATAAACCAATCTGACTTCATGTTATTTGTGACTGATAACATAAATCACTGGTTACGAGAAATCCTTCATTTCTTTTAACATCAAAACTATATGTACTGAATTATGGGGCTAGATCTAGAGTGTTACTTTTGAGGGTGCAATGTGTTCGTTATGGTATGTGCAAAATAGATGAAAAAAAAAATACGAATATGTCAACATAATCATTATCCAAACACTCGTCCAGTTTCACATCCCACAAAGAAAAGTTTTTAATTTGGTAATTTAACGTTTTAGGTCCTATCATGGTAATATTGGTGTCATTTGCTTGAATTGCAATTATCTATAAACAATTTCTATTTATACCATACGCCCCATAAAAGCCAGTCATTTAAGGACGTTCAAGGTTTGGATGGTAGGTAGAGATAAGTATGAGTTCCCGGAGAAAAAACAACGACCTGCGGCCAATGCCTGGCAACTGCACATGTAGACCTCAAACCCAAGACCCAGAGGCGGAGGGTTAATGATAAAAATGGTAAGACGCCTTAGCTACTTGGCATTAGCTGCCCACTTTTTTCATAAAAAATGGTATGAATAATGTTAAATCAATTTTAAAATAATTATGAAATCGAGATAAACGAGTGAAAGGTATTTCTTTTCACTAACGTTTTCGCTTGTTATCCAAGCAACATAAAATTCGAATATTGATGGTCACCTAACCTAGGACATCAGTCCTGTTTATTTCTTTTCGTGCTTTCGTCCAATATGTGGTACAAGATCATTGGTGTGATTTTGTGCTGGTGTATCTCTCTATTTGACCATTTTTTCTTATCTTTTTCAGTCGCTCTGAATTATATGAATGGTATATGCTGCCGTCATTGCATGCTCCTACTAGGCGACTAGACTTAGATCATTTACTGACACAATGGTACATAACTGACTGAAATCAAATGAAGAGTCACCCGACCATAGGTCAAAGTCTTCACGTCAAAATCAAATTGGAAATTACATAAAGTAATATATATATATAACACCTATGCTGTACTTGTTTATTGTATTGCATCGAACGACACCAAAAACACGGACTTTTATTCACATGTAAATAACAATTATGAATAGTCAATTACACAATTATTTTGATGCCAAATAAAAGAAAAGACAGGAAGATTGATTGTACATCCTACTTTTTCTCCGAACAAAATTAGAATCTTCAAACAAATATTTTCAAAAAACTCTTAATCTTACAAACTTTGTTAAATCCAAATGACGTTCAGTAACACCAACATGCGTGCCACAAGAACGGTGTATGACGAGGACCAAAGAAATTTCATTATTTATTTTATCTTTGTTAAGTGTTAACGTCATCACAACAGGAATATGACGCATACTACTCACAGACGTATTTTACACCGAAGTGTCATTAGAGGACCTCTGTAGTGTGACGCAACAACTTGTCAAATTATACTTAGAACATGGTCTCACAAGCATCTTTGGACTAATAACTGTATCAATACAACATTGAGCATTGTTTTCACTCAAATTCAATCAAACTAAGGCAAAATATAAAAAAGATAATTTTTTAAACTGAGACTCCTGAAAAAGTACATCTTCGTTAATCCAGGTAAGTAATGTCACCCTCTGAAATAAGAACAATACATACACAAATGGAACCAATAGACAAACTAGTGAACATCAAGCACATTCAGCTTCTCTTAATTGAGAATGTTTGAGAATTTTTCTTAAAAGAACACTATTAAAACCGTAACACTTCCTCATAATTTTCATCAATTTTTTTCCCATAAGTTCTCGACTTCTTGCATGCAACTCGAGATATTGTAAAGAGGTCCTTAATTATTGCATTACCTGCAATCTGTTTACACCTTAGGTTGGGAATGTATAGATGTTACTATCCAGAAATGGAAAAACTCACAACTGAAATAATCACGCTTATCATACGGCTTGGATGAAAGCTGTCATTATTGGTTTCTTGTAGGAAAAGATCGAGATATGTGGAAATGTAGAAGAGTCTGTCATGTCTTCGAGCTCCAATCCTGGTGAGTATATATGATACTTGTGGTCAATAAATCCCTTGTTATTCAGAGACACGACATCATCAATACATCTGAAAGTGAAATTATATGACTTTGCAAGATCTTTGTGACCTGTTTCAGCCTCGTATGAAAAAAACAAAAACAAAATTTGCCAAAAGAGAGGCACAGTTGCTTGACTTAGGTATGGCAATAGTGTAAGCTATCTGATATTTGAACGATATTTGTTCGAACGAATGTTGGTAAAAACAAGGCAAAATAACTTTATAGTCTGACTATTGTTGATTTAGTTTTAGATAATTACACGCTTTCACATATGGAAAATCTATCAGATTCGTTATACACAGCCGGCTATAAGAAGAACACTTGTAAATACCTGGTCAACACCAATAATTGAACTATCGCAAATGACCCAGCTGTTCAAATTCTCATGGATTTAGAAACTTCGACTTATCATTGGAGACTCGGAGTCTCTTATTATTGAAATTACGGGAAAGTCTAGTCATCCTCAATAGAGAGATGCTGCAAGTATTATCCGATGGTCTGCTGATTGTTCTTCTATACACAACCACAGGTGGTATATCTTTAAGACATGCATTTTGTTAATAACGAGTGATTTATTCCTGACCATCTTTTCTTCTTACTATGTGATATATAAATATGATGTCTTTTTGGTGTATCTTCCATTGAGATTTGATATTGTTTCATCTGTTTGCTGTTTTTTTTTTAAATCATATACACCTTGAGTTGGCCTTAATGAAATATCATGTGTTGATAGGCCGTAACGAATAAGTTATCAACCAATCACGATAGTGTCATTAACATGTACAATATCTAGACTGAGACTTCATACAAACTTTTTTGTTATTTATTTTATTATATGTCAGACACAGTTTATCGTATAATCTATTTTGAGATACTTTTCACTATTATAATTACATGTGTAGCCCTGATCAGACAGGGTCAATGAATGACTTGAATACCTTGAATGTACGTTCAATATACCTGTCGTATTAAATTGTTAATGTCATAGTTTCTTGAATACTGTTTCCATATCTTAATGCAAGTTTTTTTAATGTTATGCTCACTTTACATTTGTCCTTTAAACTTAATTATATTTATTCTATTCGTAGAATTATAATATTTTCCAGCAGAATTTGAAGAAGAAAAAACGGACTGAATTTTCAGGCCTTCATTTCCCCCCCTCCCAGTATTTTAGCAGTAACATGTATAATAATGAGAAATACTTTTTTTGTGTTTCATTGGAATGTCTGGTTAGTGTCTGGCGAGTCCTGCCCAAACGGATGGACGAGATATGAAACATCCTGCTACTTCTTTGTGGATATACAAGAAGCATGGCAAGACGCATCTGTAATGTATTTGTTTTGTTTTATTGGCTCCCCATGTTCGTTGTTCATCTAGTTTTGTCTAAAACTTGCCTGTAGCAATGAACATCTCGAGGGATTGTGATCAAATTTGATGTGGAACATATTTGATGGGAGTAGAACGGTGGCCAATAAAGATATAGCAGAAAGTGTTTGAAATAGAATTGCTGTTCTTCTGATAGGATGATGGTAATAACTGGTCAGAAGTAGGGACCAAATTTTGTGTAAACTCTACAGGTGAGGGCAAATTGGTTTTATGGAGGAATAACTTTTAAATCTTCTCCTTTTGGGATAATGTTAGAATTAAATAATTGTTTTTAAGCTCTTAAATTCCACATCTCTTTATAATTGTGAATAGCAATTTTGTGGCAACTATCCACGTAAATGGTACAGACCTTTGGGCCCCTTATACCGTTTCTCTTTGCAAGATAATTGTTCGATTTTACACGAAAGAAAGCTTATAAAATTATTGTAATCGATATCGAAATTTACCTATTTAACAGCGTTTTGTCAACCCATTTAAATGGTAGCTGCACACCAGTAATAAGCAATGAAATGATTCAGCACTAATTTAAAGATTTTAAGAAAGTGAATTTTATGTTATAATTTTTTAAACTCTCTAAAATGGAAGCAAAGATTTTGTACAGCTGTACACTTCAGTACATACTATATTCCCGTCTGTTATTGCAGTCACATTGCGAGGCATTCGATGCCCAGCTAGCAGCCATTGAAACAGAAAGGGAAGATAATTTCATCAGGAACCACTTGCTTATTCTGCATGGTAACTATTAATTTCATTTCATTGTGATTTAAATAACACATTTTTTCAAGGAAATCATGACTAGCAAATCCCTTCAAGCCGTTTTAGTTGAATGCACGGTTGCCAGGGTCAAAATTTTGTCATAATAGACACGTGACTGATGCATGTAATGTTCATTCATATTCACATTTACTTCTAGTTCATTTAGGTAATAGCCTTATTATTTACACAATTTAGTATTAAACATTCATTAAAGGCTTCAAGAATTTCTAGGGTACATATTTAATTTATATACATGGTATATTAGTACTGAGACATTCACTAGATAATTCGTTTTACAGTGAATCGTTGTGCAACCATAACTATGCTTTTTAATATCTACAATTTTTCTATCCTTATTTACTCTTTACAGCTCATGACTCAACAGCTTCAGTGAGATATTGGCTGGACGGGACAGATATTGCCACAGAGACTGAGTGGACCTGGGCATACTCCGAGGAACCAATCATTGGTTACACAAACTGGTGTCCAAACCAACCCGATAACTACAACTCCGTTGAAGATTGTCTTAGGCTAGCAAGATTCTGTGGATTCGGCTGGGATGACGGAAATTGTGAAGCAAAACATTTCTTTATCTGTGAAAGACATGACAAGGAGTACGTAATGTGGTCTAAAACTGGTACCTAATGTAACATACCGCAATGTCTGTCATTATGGTTGTAGTATCGTACAACGCACAAAATCAATCGTACGGACACCGTGCATATATCGGCGTACATCGTCAGCAAACACGCACGATACAGGGACTAACGCACATTTTGCAATAGAAAACTCCGTTTTGTGCGGTTTGGTTAAAAATATTTGATCATATAACGGCTTGAAAATCAAACGGAAAACTCGTGTTTTTATGACTAAGTTGCGATCCTAGGCGTATTAGATTTTGATCAGTGATTATAAAGTTTTTTTTTTAATTTACAGTCATAGAAATACCAACGCACCCTGCATTAATTAGTCTCTCTATCGTATAGTTTCCCATCTCAGAGAATGGTAAGTGGTGTGAACCGGGTAACAAAAATACCGGGATACGGGTATGCACATGACTGGTCCGTCCCGTCTAGGTCTCCGGTGTAATAAACACAACACCTTAAAATCTACGTGAATATGTATATATAGATAAATATCTTTTGTTACCGAAATGATAGGAAAATAACAGTAATACGGAAGAAATTTCAATAATGAAACGAAGTCAAATGAAAATTAGATAGGACTGGTCTAGTGTGGCACTTTAAAAACAAAACTCTTAATCACGTGTGGATATCCCTATTTATGCTATAAACCTGATAGATCTACATTGGACCTATAAACATATGGTAATTTAGATAATATGCTTAATTGCACTGTTAGATATCACGAAAATAAATAAACCATATTTTAACTAATGTGAACCACAAAAAATCGCACGTCGTGTGCACAAATAAGCGGTATCAAATTTCGTCTAGTTATCCTATCGTGCGTCCATAGTGTAATGTTGTGTGATGTCACATCGGCAGTACTGTAGCTAGTTAGTGAACTAAAGATATAGTTGTTTTCTCTCTCTCCTAACGTCTATCTAATACATGTCATTTAATTATAGTCTTTGTATGTATGCGAGGTGAATCAGTTAAATGAATAACAACGAAGAGAAGCCGAGATTCCCGACAAATATATTTACAATCTCTCTTGATTGATAACTAAATTATTGTTCCTTACCGTTTCTATCAGTAAACTTTCCTGATGAGAAATCATGTTTAGAATGATAATATATATATATTTATACATATACCTAAGTAACCAAGCATGTGAAGAAAACCTCACGATTACAGAACGTGACAAGAAAACCTCACGATTGCAGAGCGTGACAAGGAAACCTCACGATTGCAGAGCGTGACAAGGAAACCTCACGATTGCCTCTTTTGGCGTTGAAATTATCGATGTTACATACTATAATAAGTTCCTTTGCCATAGTGGCATCTATAACGCTACGCAGATAACTTTGGCCACATGCTGCTGACAATCCTGTGGAGTGGTAATTTTCATTTCGAGTTGAAATGCAAATTCATAAATCGAACGTATTATAGAAAAATTACATTTACCGTGTTCCTTTCCCGAATGAAATTATGTGTGTTGGTTTCGTTGTTACATTACTTACTCAGAACAACGTCTATAACAACGGAATGAACAGGCAAACCAACGAGTACCATACAACAATGTCTTTGGTAGACTGTATTTTTATACTGTATTAGCGGCTGAACCAATCTGCTTGTGTTTGTTGTATTATGTAAAATTGCTTACTACCATTTGTAGAAATCAGCTTCCAGGTGTAAAGCATTTCAACTGTTCATGTACTTAACGTTCTTTTGAAACTATACAATATCGAAAATAATGATCTTTTATAATTCTAAAATTCTGTTTCCAGTTTCCCGTTTCCTGATGTTGAACCTACCGAAATAGGAATCATTGGATGAGGATCTGTCTAAATACAACTGCTAAAATGTGATGATTTTGTATTAAAGTGACAAAGTGGAATGTTTATAGATTTGTTTTTGCTCCTTTGTTTTGCTTTTGTTTTTGTTTTGCTTTTGTTTTTGGTTTGTTTTTGTTTTTGTTTTTGTTTTTGTTTTTTTTTTTTTAGGTTTTTTTCGTAAACTGATAACAGTTGTAATTACTTATCAGTAGTAAAACTTAATTCTTATAAAAACAATTATCATTAACTTTAAGGCAACTGATTAAATGTTCGCATGTTTTTATTCCTGTGGAGAAAAACATTTCCTGCTGTTCACATTTCATCCATGATGTTCGACGATTTACTTTCTGCTCTTGATTTCTTCTCTTAGTCTTGACGGTAACTATTCCTAACAGCTTTCAATACCTCGATGTTGGCCTCAGTTTTCATTTTTGCGAGGATGCTATGAATTATGTTCTTATGATAAAGACTAACTAGGTAAACGTTTGTAACTTGCTACTCTGATTTCTAGCTTTAGATTAATTTGCAGTCTGATACGATTATATTCCGCGGACATTTTCTACATATGGCTTGCGATGTTACCTAAGAAACAATGCCTTTATTTCAACAAATTTTATCAACAAAACTGCATAGAGAATTAGATCAAATAACGGGCAAATCCTTCTTTAATTCTCTCAGTTAAATGGCTAAAGTGGAATAAACAAAAAGTGTAATAGATAATCAATACGTTTGAAGTATCTTTACACAATTGTGAACTGAAAATTAAAAAAGAATTAGATTAGATTAAATTTTAAAAAATCTAAGGGAAATTAACTCTTGATGAAGATATGTAACATACACTCTGTACATAGACATAAAGTACATGTATATTAATATCAACAACATTATCCACTGTGATAGACAGTGACAGTTTTACACCAAACGTCCATCTACATATATCATATATGTAACTTCTACCAACAAAAGTTTAATAAACTAAATTTATTAAATCAAATATATGTACTAATATAACTATGTAAAAGATAATTACATATAATAGACTAAATTATCTTGTTTAGAATCAATGCTCTTGTTGGGTTGGTACAGCCACGCTTCTTAAGTGTTACATAAATTAAATCGACAAGATGTTCAAATAAATTAATGCATATCCTTTAGAATTTATTTGTAGGACAATCATAATCAGGACAGCCTTGAAGAAGAATCTCTATAATAATGTGATTCGATTGCATAACTGTTAAGATAAATAAACAATGTGGTTTGTTGACCATTAAATACGGGGCATTTTAAAAAGTTATGTTCAGGAGATCAGAAACAAGCAGAATTGTTGGTAAGGATATAAATCACTACAGGAATTAAGAACTTGACATAGTATAATTTTTCCTTTTCTGTTACCCGCTGTTTTCAAAACTAAATTTGAATCACTATTAGAAACAATACTGACTGAACAAAGTGAGTGTTAATACTATGATATAGAGAGAACATTAGGATGATCACTACTGGTTTTAATTGTGAGGCACATTTGAGGGGAAATTAGTCATCAGTTCTAGATAATGGTGTAATAAAAAGCTCAGTTTGACTGAGAGAAGAAAGGTTATCAAAACCGAACTTTCATAAAATGTGTTAGTGTATGTATTGTACTTCAACGTGATAGTACTACAAATCCGGGGAAAAACACCGCAATATCAAACGAAGGCTTACACGACTATATCGCAACCTCCAGCAAATGCACACTCAAGATACGTACTCATCTCGAATACCTAGAGAGGCCTTCCTTAAATGACCATAGTTGTTGAACGGACATTTAACAATATAAAACCAAACATAATTGAAACACATCGGACACCATTGCATAGAAAGAACAATATGTCAAGATTTATTATTTTTATTCCGAAGAATCAAACCCAAAAACAGTCATTTAAGCAAGTTTGTCCTTGATATCAGCTCCATTAAAAATACTATACTCTAATAATATAATGCGTGGTTTTCGTAGATACGAAATAGTTGACAACAATGCCAAGGCCTAATCTGCAGACAGATCACGAACACCTTATTCTGATATTAAAACTGTTGTACTTGGCATTAACAGAGACAACTGAAAGGACAAAACAGCTGTTTAAGGCACTCTAACTCATTAATTAGCTTTACTGTATCTAATTTTAAATTTGGCTTAAAATGTGTTGATGATATTTTGTATGACCCGTGACAAAATATCAACGGCAACCAAAACAGTTTGATGGCATACACTGTAAAACTCCCAATCAACTAGGAGCAGAGATCGGTAATCGTTATCTCCCCTCCTTATATCACACTTACATGCTGACTTCCACAAGAACACCCCTTATGCCATTGATTTGATAAATATGTAACCGTGAAGCATACTTATCGACTGACCCATGACATAAGTTCCGACATATTACTTATATCTGACATTGTCAATGCAACCAATATATAGTATTTGTATAAATACATATCTAGAGTTAAACACATAGATTAAACATCTCAGATTAATTAATGGCTAAAGTTGACCATTTTTGTTACAAATGTGTGTTGGTTTTTTTTTTTTTTTTTTTTTGCGATTTGCTTTCCTATGATGCCCTATTTATATATTTACATCTAATACGATATTTGTATATCGGATTTTCATTTGTTTCATCTAGGTGTTCCAGTGTAAGTGTACAATTATTACTACTGATTGGCCTGATAACTCTTTATCCTTGTTAGTCCATTGAAGACAAGAAAATCAACCAAAAAGACGCTTATAAAACATTAGCTTATAACTTATTAAAGTGGAAACAAGATACGGACGTTCACGTATCATTCCTGTTATTAAATAAAATTACACTTTCCTAGGAAATTGATTGACACAACCGATTCAAATGATGCGTCTGTTTTAAAACACTTAAGTAACTTCTGTCGCGATTTTTAAAGTCTATTTTGACCTTCTTTGTACAGCCTTGTCGGTGACTGCACATGTGTAGCGTTTGTTGTAGTTTCAGACCCGAGTGTTGCTATTTTCAATCATTGCTAAAATTAGCACTATCCTTCTCAAAAATTGAATGACAACAAACAAGTGTACTTTATTGCTATCTAAAGAGGAATTTTACTGAAATAGGTTGTAGCATACAAGCATGTTTTATAATGCCGACAACTAACTAGTATTTGGAAATGTTAGTATTTTCCATGGCAAGAGTCGCAATGTTGTAAAACGAGATTGTGTTATATATCAACGAACTGTTCATATTTATAAAACAAGGACTATAAGGAACCGATTGTGTAAGAATCTCGGACAAAATGGCAAAGAGAATTAATCAAGATTTATTTCATTTCTGCTTCATAATCTTGTTTGTTTACCATTGGTATATTCCCTCAGTTCTCGACAAATCGCTTTAAAACTTGGTATACTTTCATTTATTCTCTTGACATAAAGTTCCCTTTTTCGCTTGGAATTTTTATTAATAGTAGAGTGCGATACAGTAAGTCATGAATTGTTTTTTGGCACTGGTTAGGCGTTTATTGTTCCACCCCTCAGCACACTTGCCTCTCTTTACACTTTACACTTTGCTTTCACAAAATTTGCAAGTAAATTGTAAAGGGCAGATATCAGGATAACTTTACTTTAAGTGCCATGACGTTCATATTTCTGTCAGGATAACTTTATTAAACATGATACCGTTCAAATCTGGAGTGGAACATTATTTATCTATTGTAATGAAAACTAGGTTAAATAAAATATCATATTTTGCATACACCAATATAGGTATTGAACTAATTGTCCATTGTGTGATGTATATTGACACATTGTTGAGACAGCACACGGAATACATTAACGACTGTTGCGAAGACGTGAAATTCCAAACGAAAATGCAGTGTCTGGTACGCTGTCAAAATTTAAAACAACACAACAAAACTACATGATAACAGAATCGAAACTCAGTTTCGTTAACACAAGGAAGTAATCTGAAAGTACGATTTACCCTGAGGCTTCTGGAATAAGTACATTGAGAATAAGACCAGTTATGTTCAGCGCTATTAAGTACATGCAATGATCCATTTGGAATAAAATATATCTATATATATAGACTGCGTTGACCTGCAGACTACGCGAGATATGCTTTATAATAACATTTATCTAAAAAAAATTTGAAATTGTAAATAAATTCAAAATTCTTTTTAAAATACTTAACGAAAGAAAAAAACATTTAAAAAAACTTAAACCTCTTGTTTGTATAACAAATGATAACTTACAATAACCATATCGTTAATTTATAAATTTTTAGGCAGATCTTTTTAACATTTTTCTTTCCTTTAATGTGATTTCATTTCGACATTTTTGTCCACTATTTCCTGACCGTACTAACGATCTACAATATAGTAATAGTAATATTTTTCACGGTGTTAATCTTTTCCAGAGATTTTTTTCTTCAATTTACAGGCACTGTATTTGAAACTCTGTTTAGTTTGTTAATCATTGGGACATATATCACTGCTTCACCCATGTTTGGACAAATTGTGGAAGCATCATTGTCCTTTTTACATTTCAGTTTTATTTCAATCTTGTCTGGAGACCCCCATCCCTCAGTTTTAAATTGATTTCATTTTTATTATTTCATTTGTTCACTCACAAATGTATTTATTGTTTCATATCCATATTTGGAGTGACGTAAGTCTGTTTTGGTAAAGATCGGCTGTATACTGTTCCGTGCTTTTGTTAGTTCACATTTACTCAGTAGAACAAATTTGTTATTTTATAAAACGCGATATAAAATACGTAGACTTAAAAAAATTCTTAAGATGAAAGTTACCAAAAGTGAAACAGGAGACGGCGTCATGTAAAACTCCGCCAGTGTTTCAAGTTTATATAAAACGTGATATATAAAACAACACAAGAATGTTCATCACGTGATAATATGACGTTGTTTGTGTACCTCTGGTCATGATTAACTGTTCACCGCATTTGGCCGACTTCTTACTGGCATTGACCACAAAATTAGGTAAACAGGTTCATGTTATCCTGTAGTAATTATGTTATTTTGTATGGAAACGAAAATGTGCGAAACTATTTCAAGTTTATGCAATATATCGTTTCGTATAAAAATCAAAATTACACCTAACGAAAGGCAATAATAGACATTAAAATAACACAAATAGACCATTACAATCAGTGTTGTTGAGAGAAATTTACTCTGAAAAATAAGAGTTTTGTGTCATGGAAACCCGTCTATGTATGACGAACAAATAGACATCACGTATTGAATGTTATTGTTGAATGCATTAAACGAGACACATTATACAGACAACAAATAAATCGTAACACAACTACAATACAGTATAAGGGTTATGTAAGGGTGTATACTATGTATTCCTGTGAGGTACTACTACTAGGTTTTTTTCAGGTTTTTGGAGTTTTTTTCTGTGTTTTTTTTTTCAGTGCCTGTAGCTTTTAACAGCAATAAATGTCCCCTTCAATTCCTTACCAACTCTTCCACATATGTTATTGTGTGAAAATGGTTAATTTACATTTTGAAATACTAAATTTTTGTTTCCGGACATTAATTCTAGCTTTTTCGTGGAATGAAACAAAATATTATAAGTCTGTCTATTCATGTAATTACACGTGTATGTTATTTCAATGTGACCGTAGATATATGACACTGGTTCACACGACACCGTGCTAAACCACATTTTGCGTTATTGCACCAAGTTGTCCAAGATTCCACCGACTTACACTGACGTATGTGACTTATCTACACCACCTGACCCATGCGATAAAGACTCGAATACAAGATAAGCTCCGGATAAATGTCACACGACCTTCTAGTAGAAAACCAAGGGATTCCTACAGTTACGTACCAGAATTTGTGCCAGTCCTGTCTCGCTTGGTCGCCATGGCCCTTCTCCGGTCTATAGTGTGTTTACTAGTGATTTGCCTTACTGCAGCCCAAGAAACAACAGTTGTTCCAGGTAACATTTAACAAGTATTCAATTGAGAAAAATACATTCAATAATTATTACAAGGAAGATGTATTTCAACATGTTGCCTACATCACGTTTAACATCCGTCAAATAATTTAGTGTGATTGAGTGCTAAAATTTCGAGAGTTTGTCGGAAAATGTGATGACAATATTAGAAGCCCTAGGGGTATCTGTTGACACTGACTATGTGAATACAAACTGCTGAAAGGATGTTAACATAAAAACGGAGCATTTCATAAATATTCATTTATATATATAGAAACAAATGTCTTAGGATATATAGCTGGAAAAAGAAATACATATTTTACTTTGAAACAAAGACGAGAACTCGACAGAAAGTTGAAAGTTTAAAGCTGTAGATACCCGTTTGGTTTGAATATAACTGATGTATTACATGGGCAATTTTAATCTGAAGACTTTTGCAGAAAGTGTATAAAATCAGGTTGGTTTTATCATTTTATAAAGGGAATAATTTCATAAGAACATTGATTATTTCTTTTGTAAATGCGAAATTATATTTTTGTCGAAAACTGCACATAAACTCAGTCAAAATGTCATATGGGTCAAACAATTGTACAGGAAACATTTCGAATAACAAATTATGAAAATATCAGCAATGTTAAGGACACAGACATATTTCGGCATCTTTTTCATTAAAGCAAAACGGCCACGGATTTTGATAACATATGCAACAAACATTGGCGTTGTATAGTGGATGAAATATATTGTATAATGATAAGACGTTAAAAAATTCGTTCGTTATCAATGATGGTTTAAATAACGAGTCTATAGTTCATAGTTCTATATTAACTGGAAATAATCTGCATGCAAAACAAAAGGAAATATCGGTTTAAGTATTTGATATTGTATATTAAAACCTTAATCCACAATACAACCTTCTGAGAAAATTATAGACATGTGTTTCAGTCCTGACGTGACTGGTTCGTGTTCCTCAGGAGAATAAGATTCCGGACAGTGTTATTCATTCGTTTCTGCGTGCTTGACACTTTGCCCCCTATTGCTGTGGATAGCCTGTAGCTGGCAGTCCACGTGATATCTAGTTACGTAGTCTCTTATAACAACGATAAAACGCCATCTTAAAATAGCCCTCACTGTTAATGGGACGTTAGACAAATAAACACGCCTAAAATTAAAATCAAATAAGTTGCACTGTTAGTACAAATGTTAAGCTATCATTGAATCGCGGAACGATGATTCAAATTTTCTAATTTTGGCATTTCTCTCGATCGTCACTGATGATCCTCGGTCACTTACTGGATTTCAGTATAGAGACAATTAGCATCAGTGAAGAGTATCAGAGGGAGAACAAGAAATTTTCAGCATTCGATATAATCTTGATCCAAACTCAAATTCATTAAAACTAGAGCAAAATATGAACTAAAGGAAGATTTACACAGAGACCTCTGAACAAAGTACAAGGAGAATAAGACCAGGTGTTCCGGAAAAGTAAGCATCCTTTGCTTCCTCAACAACACCCGCCATAAAAGTTTTGGTCAACTAAAGTAAGGAATGTCACATTCTGAAATGAGAACAAGGTATATAACACCGGAACCAATAAGCAAATTAATGAGCATCAAACACGTCGGCTTCATAGAATATTTCTCAATGAGATTACTTCAGCGACCAAAAAGTCCTCACGATTTTAATCAACCGGCATATTTTGATACCCCGTTTTACAAGTTTGTTCGTCAGCTGACAACTTCATGCATGAAAGTCGTGATAATGGGATGAGGTTCATTAATTTGGAATGCAGAGATATTGCTATCCAGAAAAAGAAAATATACAATAAAGAAGTCGAAATCATTACACTTACATACAGTTTGTCGGATGTCTTATTTGAAGCAGAAGACGCTTACTTTTCCGGAACATCTGAAATTATTATCCTTGTACTTTTTCAGGAGTCTCCGTGTAAATATTACTTTTGTTCACATTTTGCCTAATCTTAAGGAATTTGGGTTTGGATTATAATTATGTTGCAACATTGGTATTTTTTTTTATGCAGTTTAATTCAAAGTTCCGCTTTATTGCATTGAAATGTATTATATACACGTGTGTCTTATGCAATTTCTAACAGAAGGTTGCAATGAACTATATCAGCTTAACTTCTACCTACACATCGTGAATGAAACTGAATTAAATTTACGTACATTAATTCTTAACTAATATTGCATTATAACAAAACTACCCGTACATCAAGCAATGCAGGCTGAATTTCCTTTCACTGAAGGTCAGCTTGTGCTCCCTATTGGACATTATCTGAGGGAATCTGACCTAGAAAAAGCTATCTCCCCATAAAACCAGACTACTTGTCTACCTTGACACGAAAACGTAGTGACATTCACTGGTCACGTTATCAGTTATGTCGCTCTGACATATGGTCAATGCAAATTAGTTCTCAAGCCCTCAGCCACAGTTCTCTTTATCGGTAAAGGTACATTAGAAATTTTTTTTGTTATATCCATAACCAAGATATTAAAAAACCAGAAATTCATTTCTTAATTTACCATAAGTAAATGAATTATCATCATATTTCACGGCTGCATGTTGCATTGTAATTCACTTGAATAGTGGCAAGGTTCAGAATATACACATGTACTTGACGCTATTTTAAGATTATCTGATGTATGGAAATTGTGAAATTCATTTCATTATGGGGCTGCTGCACCTCCCTGTCTTGATTTTGACTTTTGTTTTGGTAACTTTGAATAGTAGTCGCCTCCTAGACTTCAAAATTTAGGAACTTAGCATCACTGATGAGTCCTAGAAGGTCGAAACAGCTTTATGATGCAGTCTAATTCTCTACTGTATCTCATTCTAAATCATGAAAAGGTGCTATTCACTTTTTTGGCTTTTGTACAAACTATTGTATCTGATCTAAATTTGAACTTAAGATGCTATAAACTTATATTTGTATTACTATGGAAGAAACTTATATTTCGATATTCACAATAAACAGTGATGATGTCACAAATGTACAATCTGTCCAGAGTTCGTTCGTTACGTAGCCTCAAGGAATATTAATTATTAAAAAAATTAAAAAAAAAAAACATTAGGTACATAGTTTAACACGGCGGGTGTCATCGATGAAGCTAGAGACGCTCACTCTTCCGGAACATCGGATCTTATTTTCCTTATACTTTTTCATGAGTCTCAGTGTATATCTTTCTTTTGTTCATATTTTGCTCTAGTTTTATGGAATTGGAGTTTGAATTATGATTATGTTGCCATGTGGAATGTTCTTGATTTTTTATGATAACCGAGACTGTGTCTATCTGCACATTGACAATATATATTCCACAATTCTATGAGTTTGTGTTATCTAAACCATCATTCATAAAGTGATAGATTTTAGACTAGCAGTTCTCACTCAGGCATTTTAGTTTATACATGTTCTTTCATTTTCAATTTTAATTTGTACAAAATATTAACATCAAAACACAATAAAAACTTTCCAGTATTTCTTTGATACATTTATATGACGTTCATAGGTCACTTTTACCGGCTTAACTACCAATTGAACTTCCGACTTATCAAGTTATATGCTGAAAAACGATCTTCTGCTTTACATAGTTATACAGAAAATCATAGATCACTGAACATAAAGAACAATTTATTGAAAAGTTTGGGGTAAACCAATAAAAGCTGAAAGCAATGCTGTCAGATTAATATGCAACCGATCCATTTCAGGCCACCAGAGATAAGGTCTCAAGTGACCTATTGAAATCAACTTTGAATCAATTTTGTCAACTTTAAAATCTTAAACCATTGATATTTTCATTTTATCAAATACCTCTATGGATGAAATTTTGCAAACCTCCCATTACCCACCGTGAAACATAATTTTGAATAACATAGTCCTTATCTCCCTTGAGGGGCAGAATCAAATCAAATGAAATTTCAAATGTCTTCTTTCAAAACATTGATATGAAGGAACGAACACATTTCATCGATAATCAACAGATGACTTATGAAAGTTGTGAATTTCAGGACCCCAAAATTGTCATTTCCCCTTCGGGTATATATTGATGTTTGGGTGATATTGTTTATTTTCAGAAAATGACATTATGAGCACCATTTGTTTAATTTCCTTAAAAACATTTTGCGAAAATATACGACTTTCATGACACTAGGGTCTGACATTACCTATAATGGGGAGGGATTTAAGTTCATAGTTTCGTGCATAATTTTGCTTAAAATTAAGTTTAATCAAAATAATTCAAGGCTGGTTCTAATCATTAGCATATGGACGGCAGTTATTTTTTTGCACATTTAACAGTTTTATTTCAATTTTGTTAACAAGAGGATTTACACCAACGAAACAACAGTTTTCTAAAGTGGTCATTAAGCATCTCTGCCTGCCATGAATATCAACATACATTTTTGAGTATAAGTAAATAAGTGTTAAGTGTTATGAATTATTTATAGTGTTATCACACTGCAATGACATGACAATGACACGATAGCAACTTCCATACTGTGAGTGAAAACGTTTTATCTGACTCTGATAAAACTGACATGTTAAGATAGTCTGCTTCTTATTTAAAACATGATACTTTAATTTGCTTATTTTCTAGACCCACATTTTCATATTTAATGTTCTATTCTCGAGATAAACATATATTTACATCATGATTAATCCTTCATGACTCACATGTTTTTAGTCATTATTTTATTGTTATCAGTGGTTTTCATTTTCCTCTGTTATAGGATGCTATATCCGTCAAGCAGATATCGTTTTCCTGTTAGATTCTTCAAACAGCGAGGGAGCTGCCAATTTTGAAAAACAGAAAGATTTCGTCTCGACGTTCGCTAATTCACTTGTCATTGGCCCCGATGATATACAGATAAGTGTAGTCACATTCGAATCTGACGTCCATAATCAGTTTAACCTTGACACCTATGAAAATAAAACTGACCTCGTAGATGCTATTAGGAACATTTCCTTCCAAGCTGGTAATACACTGACAGACAAAGCCCTTAACTATGTTCGAACTGTCAGCTTCTCAAACTCCTCTGGCGATCGAGAGAATGTGGACAATATTCTGGTCGTTTTGACTGATGGTCGTTCCACGGACAGAAACAGCACTATGGACGAGGCCGAAATGCTCCGCAACACGTCGACCAAAGTCATCACAATCGGAATCGGAGCCGACATCGACGTCTCAGAATTAAATGCTATTGCCTCTGATTCATCCAATGCTTTTACTGTGCCTGATTTCGATGCTCTTGCCGGTATCCAGAACTCCATATCTGCTCAAGCCTGTGTCATTACAGGTTAGTGTTTTTATTTATTTATCATAAATTTTACGGCGGCTAGGTGGTGATAGGGGACGACTCTCTAATCTTATCATATCACTTCCCTTCTCTGAATAAAACCCAGGCTAATATGAACTCGTGTTGAAGGGATCCAATGTTAAGGACATCGTTACTTTATAAAATAAAAAGTTATCAGACTTAAAACATTACATGCAGAAAAGCGGAGGTATTCATGTCTTACAGACATTTTCTAGCTTTTTTTTTATTATTTTGCGTTGCTTTATAAACCTTATAACAAGCAGCATTCGAAGATCAAAGTTAAATGGATGGGTTAGCAAAAGACAATAACCAGACATGTAATAATGCACTTGATTTGGTGAATTCATTATCAAAATGGGCATCTGTGTTTCATGTTATATGCTTTATTAACGAGATAATTTAAATTTAAAGAGGAAGTTTGATGGTCGAAATCGTAATTGAAAAGAACTACAATTCACAATAGAGAGGCAATGATACTGTTATTAGACGTCTTCATGTTACTTGCCTATGAAATGTCATTTTATCAGAAAAAAAAATGACCGACTCATCTTAAACCCAACATACTCGATATATGTTTAGGGGGGTTGCCATTGGGGTTATTGGGGCAATCTTCTTTTCTTCTTCTCTCTTTTGAAATTCAATTATAGAAATATATCTGAATTGTAATCACAATTTTTGTAGCTAATGATTGAATTTTGTTTTTCCACAGTTATACCAACCACACCAGAACCCACCACACCTACTACTACTGAACCACGTGAGTGTTTAAAAATATTTTAATACATTTTCCATTATTGAAATTATATTGAAACCTGGTCTATTAGGACAAGCTCTCTGATATACTTATATTTCCATACCGTTTGCAATCGGATCGATAAGTTTGGAAAACTTTTCGCTGTAATTATTTCTACGAAGGAAACAGGAAACATTATTATTCTAAAACATTTTGCAATGGTGCTAAATCCTATCTTCATTCTGTTATAAGCAATAAAGGGACGTAACTTTCATAAAAATCATAAAATCGTATACTGACTTGTTTCCATGTTGAAAGTTTACTCCTTGAACCTTATACCGTATACATGCTCAATTTCAACGCAATAAGATTTTAGAGTATTACATCTTTTGTCAAATTAGCGTGATAATAAATGTTACCAAATTAATTGCTATATAAAACATGCAGAAACTGTATTGCTGTTATAATAAACACGGAAGTAGCGATATCTCACCTTTTGACCTAACCTGGTTTGCTAATGGAATTTCATTTCAACTTCACCTTCCTAGTATGCTCAAATGTTTTTGTTAATTTTGACATGCAATTAAATTACGTGATGCTTTTTTCATTGATGTTTCGGTATATAATTTGAAATATTACATAATTATGTTCATTTCAATGTGTATACTTATCTTATTTTCCAAGAAAAATTGCTGTTTCCTCATGAATTGTTTACATTGTTATAAGATACTTAATATAACGTAAAAAGATTCCTAAAGGATATGTAAACAATTATGAATGTATCAGTGTGTGTTATGCATTAATGATGTTGCTTTCATTGTACCCTCTTGTTGTGAACATCACACTTACTAAAAGTTTATCAAGTTACTTTTCATTTTAACCTCCTTAAGATTTGCTGCTTTTGTTTCGAGTGGGCCGCATATGATCGTTTGTTGCTTTCTGAGCGTGATTCAATGTAGTTCCTGGTGTTTGCATGTTTATCCCGTATTTGTCCAAGTCTACCATTAGTTTGTCATGTTGTTGAGTCTTTTTGCTTTTTTCGCCTTTCTTGGTGGTCTTGTCATTGCCCAACAGCGCAAGATGTCATTTGTCTGTGTATTTGTTTGGCCTGTTTTGCATTTATGGTCGAATGCTTTGGTTTTTATTTATCAGCCTGCTTCAACCGTGTGGCCGACATTGTATTTTTACTGGATTCCTCTAACAGTGAGGGGGCGCAAAATTTTGAATTGCAAAAGAATTTTGTGAGAAATTTCGTTACAAAATTTGTGCCAAAACTCGGCGTGGACGGTGTTCAGATCAGCTTAGTGTCCTTCGAGTCTAATATCCATAACGCCTTTGATCTAAATGAGTATGAGAACGCCACTGACATTTTAGATGCAATTCAAAACATTACATTTACTCCCGGCAATACCCTGACCGAGAACGCACTGAAATTTGTCAGAGAACATAGTTTCACGAATACATCCGGCGATCGACCAGAAGCAAACAACATTCTCGTGGTTTTAACTGACGGCCAATCTACGGACAGAAACCAGACTGAAGCTGAGGCAAACGCCCTTCACAATACAGATACAAAAGTCATTACCATAGGAATTGGAGCCGGTGTAGATGATACAGAACTAAACGAAATTGCATCACAACCTGACCTTGTCTTTACTGTTCCTGATTTCAATGCTCTCAGCACTATTGAATCTCAAATTGGACGTTCAGCATGTGCCACAAAACGTAAGTGATGATAATTCATTGTCATCGCCTTATTGATTGTTCTGAAGACAGTTTTGTACTATGTATTACAAGTCATATGATGAGTTCCGACGTTTCATATGTCCTATTGTGGTAAAATATAAAATATTCATCGTTTTACAGTTGTTAGTCTTTGATATCCAAGTAGTTACCCATTTCAAAATTGATAATGCATTGACGTCTAATTCCTGGGTTTTGTACAAACTATTATCTAGAATACATTGTGCATTATGTCACACAGGAATTGGTTGATATAAGTTCAAAATCCTTGCCGCCTATGTAGCTATGAGCCCACGGAAATAATTTGACATCCTTAATAGAAATCTTAGGTACGGATATTCCATGATGGCCGTTTCGAAGTTGTTGTTGTTGTTGTAGTTTAAAAAGATGTTTAATATAAAATGGTGTTGAACATTTGGTATTTGTCCTTATGTGTTTTTTTTTTATGATTTGATACAAAATTTGGCCATGCTGTCTCTTATTTTAAATTTGTATTGAAATGGTTTTTTTTCATTTGTATATCATTCGTGAATCTTGAGCAGATTTCTGAAGAATTGTTTAAGATGGTCATAACATTATTACTGATGAAATCTGCTCGTTTTCATCGGTGAAATGATTACGATGATGACCACCATTTACGACACACTGGCAACTTAGTCATAATGATCTCTTTGAGAAATGTCCAGTTTCTTTGTGCGATAAAGCTCACATGGTGGTTCCGTTGTTGTTCGTCTTGTTCTCATTTGTGAATGTATCACTCATTATTTTGATTGGACCAAAATTTACATGGCGAGTGTTGTCGATGAAGAAGACGACGCTGGCCCTGCCGAAGCATCTGATCTGATATTCCATGTTTTTATGAGTGTCCGTGTAATTATTCTTTTGTCAATATTTTACCCCAGTTTCTTAAAATTTGTATCTTATTGCCGTAAGCATGTCGGTTTTTTTCTAAGTAGTTTGTTTATATATTATCCTTAAATCAATGCAATAATTTAAAGGCGAAAAAATGGTCACATGAGTTGCAAACATTACATGTTAGTCATGTACCAGACGTACTATTCAATTATTTTCTCAAGAAGTAGAATATGGCATCAAACTTTCACGTCTGACAGTCAATCTAATAAGAACACAAAATAATCTTATGTTACCCTAGTAAATACAAGTCGCTTTGAAACAAATTACACCTCTGCTATACTAACGGAACAAAGAGTTCAAAGTTATTGTTTTTTTAATCTAATAAATGTTTGCAATTAGACAAACGAAATTACTCTATAAGTGACCATGTTGCTGTTATTTTAACGGAATTTTCTATCATTTGAAGCACCGACCACAACAACAACTACAACCACCACCACCACGACAACAACTACAACTACAACTACGACCACGACGATGGGTAAGTTCACCTTTAATATCAAACAAGATTATCTCCCCTTAATGCCTACGTATCCCCGCCCCTTTTATTACGATAGGTTAAAGGTGGTAATAATTTAGGACCGTATGATATTTTGACTATGTTTAATGCCAGGGAGTCAGGTAACATTTTCACATTATGAACAATGGAAAGAGCGATCTTTTCGAATGCGGCATTGGTCACGTATTTGAATGATAGCTCGTACTTGTACTTTGAAACAAGGAAAACCGATGTAAACACATTAGTTGTTCCATAATATGATGTAGCAGGATATATCTTGGATGCATTCAATATAAGATTGGTTTCTCTTAACGTTGGAATTATTATTTCATGATGGTGAAAACCATGGAATCATTATACAGTGAAAGTTCACTGTATAATAGTTTGCAAACATATTTTATCTTTTCCCACTAATCTTCCAAATTTTTAACAATATTTTTAACAATTATGTATTTGCCACAATACGATTTGAAAAATAAAGAATTTTTACAATTGAGTAGTTGTCTTATGTTTATTGGGCCATTGAATTTTATTTTGAAATCACGAACCACAATGGAAAAAACATATGACAGTTGATTCCTTGTACTAAAAAATCTGACGTATATGTTTATATTTGTTATCAGTCACAAACAAGGATACGTACTTGCATTGCTTGTTAATTTCTACTTTAATATCAAGCTGAAAAGCAGCTAGTACCGATGAACCTAAATAAACGTTGGTGAGCCTTGGCTCTCCTTCAAATGAAATGGCTTTGGGTACTTTTTTATTTATCTGTGTACTAAAGACGATACCTTTTCCGGAAACGAAACGCGATATTTTGGGTCGATTTGAAGAGTGAAGTCACCAGATCATATTGACAGTTAGTTTTTGTTTTATACTCGATGTATTTTGATACCACTTGCTTTGCATGTACGCTTTTTGTATGTTTCCTTGCAGGTTTACACATTTGAGCGCTTGCTTAAATGAACAAACATTAATTATTTTTTCGCTTTCATCAGTGCTTAGTCCAAGACAATTGATGGATTATCTATATTTGCTTTACGAGTTGTATTATATGCCAAAACGCAATAAATGACGATGTCATTGCCTTTATTTAAAACATTAAAATACTCCAAGTTGCTTTTAATTGAAGTTGATACAGAGATACTTAATGGGCTTAAGGAAAGGTAAGTGTTTATAGATTGAAGGCAATACAATTGGGTGCATCATGCTGTGACAAAATGCTTCGCTTTATCGACGCCTATCAACATTATCAGCCTGTGATTTCCGCTATATGTTTGCCTTTAAAAGTAAAAGAAAAACTGCTGAAAAGAGACATTTGCGTATATTTTGATACAATTATATGATTATCATTCATTTTATTCTCAAATACGGTTATATTTTTAACCACAGCCTGTAATGTCACAAAGGCCGACATAGTGTTCCTTCTGGACACTTCAAATAGTCTTGGAGCGGTCAACTTCGACCGCCAGAAGCAGTTCGTTGAAGATGTGGTCAACGCTTTGGACATCGGTCCAGATGACACTCAAGTTGCTATTACTACATTTCAAACAGTTATACAAAACGTGTTTCAGCTGAATGAATATCCAAACAAAAGTGACATGATCAACGCGATTCAAAATATTCAGTTTTCACCTGGAAATACATATACAGACAAAGCACTGAAATATGCCAGAGAGGTGATGTTCCAAACAGCAAATGGAGACCGACCGACTGTTCGAAATGTTCTTATATTAATGACTGATGGCCAATCTTCTGACCACAACGAGACGATGGTACAGGCCATGGACATTCACACGTCGACCAACATTGATGTCATAACCATTGGCGTCGGCAATAAAATCGACACTAACGAATTACAGGCGATAGCTTCCGATCCACTGTATGCATTGTCGGTTGACGACTATTCGAAACTAAATACTATCCTGGCAGATATTGGCCTTCAGACCACTGGATGCATTAGTATGTTTCTTTGGTATCATCTAAAATATTGATAGCATCTCAATATAAGATTGCTATTCAAAGCAATTTATTCTAATCGAAACCGGTAATTTGTTTAATAAGAAATCAAATTCTTTTTTCTTTTTCATTTTAATTCTTCATTTTTCTTTTATTTCATTTTCTCTCACTTTCTCAACAACAAGAATGAAATTTTAGTTCAGATAGATAAAGTTCTTATTTCAATCTTTCAAAAATGAAAAAGATTTATTACATTGATGTAAAGTAGTTCTTTTTTCTTTGATATTCCCCTGATTTCATATGGTCTAACAATTATTATTTGAGAATAAAAGTTAGTAATGTTTTCATTTTTCAAAGTTTCAATGATAAAATCTCTTCTGTATATATACGTCGTGTAGCATGGAGTTTTTAAAAATATGATTCCCTAAATTTGCTGACTCTTCAGTATCGAAATAATTATCAATCAATGTTGATAATATTCAAATATTGTTTCTGTGCATCTTACCAAAGTCACCCTGCCATCGACGACTTCAACGGAAGCGACTGCAACGGCTCTGACATCTGCAGCTCCTTTTGATCTCGGCAAGTGTTCTCTTATGTATCAACTTTAATTAAAAGCAACACAAATTGGTTTTTACCACCCGATATACATATGTACATGATATTCTACAGGAGTATTGAATACCATATCTTTGGTGTGTTTCATAGCATAGAGCTAAAGAAAAACCAAAAATTGTTACGTTATATACTTATGTAATCGACCTTTTTCGAAGTTGAATACGACACATTAATCTAAGAGTAATGTTTTTTTTACGATATCTGATACAATTTGTTTATCGCAATTTATCGACAGATTGTAACAGAACAGTTGCCGATGTGTTATTCCTTGTGGATTCTTCGTCACACGTTAGTCTTGAACATTTCCAACAGGAAAAATCTTTTATTTCTGAGATAGTGGAACAGTTTAACATCGGTTTGGAAGACGTGCAGGTAGCGTTTGCTACATTTTCATATGAAGTCCATAACAGTTTCTTCCTAAACAAATGGTACAACGTCAGTAATATCGTTGAGGAGATTATGAAAACGGACCATTCATCTGGAGACTCGATTCCAAGCTTGGCACTTACCTTTTCCGAATCAGTTTTCTTGCCTGAAAACGGTGATCGGCCTAACGCAACTGATATTGTGGTTTTGATTGGCACCGGAGAATCCGCAGATTCTTCAAACATTGACAAGGAAGTCCAGCGTCTCCAGGATAGGAATATTACCGTAATCACACTTGCTTTGGGCAATTTAACTACACTTCAGAATGAAACATCTGGTCTGTCTTCTTCAATTAAAGGAATGATTGATCAATTTTCTGGATTAATTCCCTGTCCCACTTCACCTGGTATGTCATAATTGATGAGCGTCCAATTAAACAAACGCAGCAACGTTTGGAAACAAAATCCTATATCATTAATATATACTAGGGTTCTTGCATATCATGCATTGAATGAGTTATTATGGGAATTTTAGAATGATTATAAGATAGAAAAATCATATATCGCTGAAATATTAAGTGTTGTTCAGTATTTCGTTACAATTTGAAATACGATATTTTAAACAAAGGAAATAGTCAATACCAGTTATCAGTCGTTTGGCATCTTTGTGTTCAATATGAATTCATATTACCTTTGTTCCAACAACGACTGTAGCGACAACCCCTACAACTATTCCAACTACGATAGCGACAACCCCTACAACTACGACCGTCCCAACAACGACGGTTCTTCCCGGCAAGTAGTTCCTATTATTTTCCAAGAGTTTTTTTTACTTTTTTCAAAACAATTTCGAATTATACTGCTATTTCTTTCCTGTCGACCGCCGTTCTGTGCATGGTATTTAATTATATGTATGCATAATTTACAAGAATGATGGTTTGACTTCAAGCACATGAAAAAGTTAAATGAATATCAAATATTGTCAACATCATTCAATAAGTACGATATTCCAATAACTTACTCGTATATCACGTATTTTATAAGCATGCAGACTTCATAAACAATGTGATCGTGTTTACAGTTTGCAATAAAACTGTGGCTGATGTCCTGTTCCTCGTGGATTCGTCAAACAGTGTCAATGGCACAAGGTTTGAGACCGAGAAGAATTTCACAGCCCAAGTAATCAAACAATTTAATATCGGCCCCGATGACGTTCAGATCGCATATCTGACATTTGAAACCTTTGTGCATCCCCAATTCGGATTCAATACTTATAACAACTCAGCTGATGTTCTTGAGGCTGTCTTTGCTACTAATTACACACCCGGAAATACATATACCAATCTCGCTCTGCAATATGCTCTAGACAATGTTTTCATACCGGAAAATGGAGACAGGGAAAATGTTACGGATATAATCATTCTAATGAGTGATGGCCAATCAACATTCCCAGAACAAACCGCAACAGCAGCCGATCATATCAAAGATAAGAATGTAACTATAGTAACATTTGCCATTTCTGATGCCTCAAATGCGCAGGGCTTGACTGAGTTGCAGGAAATTGCGTCACCATCATATGCCGTAAATACGTCATTTGAAGGGCTCATTTCCACAGTCAATGGATTAGTTGACGTTATTACTGGACTAACCTGTCCCACGCCCGGTACGTCAAAAACATAACGTCAAATATAAATAACATAATAATATATTCTTATCTTGACGAAACCATTGTTTATTTTGCTGAAAAAAGAAAAATATCAATTCGTTTCAAAACCGTTTTAAAGTAATTATCGGACAATGATTCAAAACTACGAAGCTATACTCTATTTTAAAGAAAACAAAATGTTCCAATGATCAATCCGTGCTGTTTCAGCTCCTACCGTTCTCCGCAAGTATCTTTAATAAATACTTTGCAATGATATGGATGCTTGATTTTAACGTGCTTTGGTGCAAATATGCATTGTTATTGATTGTCTTTAACAAAATCACTCCATACCAAATTCATTATATTATGATTTTCGGTTGTAAGTACTGACTTGTTCTTTGCTAACACTTATTGTTAGGGTGGTTGCACGCTTGAAGACTTTGAAATGATTTTCAAGTGCTTTGAAGTAAATATATACAAGTTACTTCATTAAACAAATATTTATAATATTTTAGCAAGATCTTTTAAAAAAAGTTATTTTCATGATGCTACAAATAGGTATACCTTTTACGTTATCAGAATAATCCCTTTGATTGTCTGTATCTGGACAACCATGTATGTTTCACTGGTGTTCATACTGATCTTTACAGTCATCAATCTAATCTTGAAATGATGATCCCAGATATATTTCTATAGTTATTGACGATTAGTGTGAGTATATTGGTTTATCGCTGGGCAGGAATGATGCTTGCTTGAAAACTTTTCATAAATGGACAACAAAAATAATTACAGCAACTGCAGGAAGTGCCTGAATAAGATGTAATGATTTGCCTTACGTGCTTACATTCAGATATATATGTATTTCTCTCAAATGCATAAAATCGTTTAAGTGTGAGCACATTAAAACAAGAACAAAAATTTAAATGCCCGCATTTAAAAATTTGAAATTTAATGCATTGAATTTCAATAATAGGATATCCAATCTAAGACGCTCTATACGAAACTAAATGTACAGCTACATTTGAAATGACGTTATTTTAATTAAAATATATCAATAACTTCTTCAAACGTCTTGTGTATGAAATCACGTAAGTACGCCTAACTGCGATGAGCATTGCTTTGCTTGAAGTCAAGATATAAAACAAAATATGTACGTGGAATATCACTAATTATATCTCACACTTACAGCCTGCTTTGCGCCAGAAGCGGATATAGTATTTTTGATGGACTCATCAAACAGTCTTGGGCCAGCCAATTGGGACTTAGAAAAGGAGTTTGTGAAAAATCTCATCGATGATCTGAATATAGGACCAAATAATATGCAAGTCAGTGTCGTGACATTTGAATCAAACCCTGCGCTTCAGTTTTACTTAAACGAACATGAAAACAAAAACGATGCAATAGAGGCCGTTAGAAACATTTCGTTTCACACCGGAAACACAATGACGGGAAAAGCTTTGCAATTCGTGCGTGATGTCGTGTTTGTGGAAGATGTCGGCGATCGTCCTAATGCGAATAACATACTGGTCATTCTTACCGATGGAAAATCCAGTGATTCCCAGGAGACCCTTGAACAAGCAGCTTTATTGAAAAACGACAGCGTGAAGATATTCGCTATTGGAATTGGTCTAAAAGATGATGGAATATCTGAATTGGAATCTATTGCTACAGACAAAAATCATGTTTTCCAGACTCCGGATTTCTTCGCACTTCCTTCCCTTAAATCTGAAATTGAACTCACAAAAGTTGATTGTAATTGTAAGTGTTCTCCGATCATAAACGTGAATTATAATGCATGCATTCTTTCATATATCTTAACAGGTGGAGCTGTAGAGGATAACTTACGTTAATCCTATCTTAACTAGTACATATTGAAGTAATTTTGAATTGTGTTTTGTATTTGACTAATTATTACATACTTCTAACTTATATCAGTTAAATATCACATGTGTTAAAATGTTAAACCTACATTTATTCGATGGTGTGTATGAAAGTAAGGACACGTATGCATTTCAGCCACGACACTGCCACCAGCCACAACAACTCCAACGACTACGCCCTCAACCACAACGTTTCCAGGCAAGTAACGGAAATGGCATGAGGATCGTTTCTGTTGAAAATCTTTACCTTTGATATTAATCAAATGTGCTCTTGTTATGTGACTTCACATGAAATCAAGAAAGAAGGAACAGTTCAAAAATCATCCGCAAGTATCAGAAATTGCCCTCATTTCTTTCCTCTTTTCTTATATGCTTCATACACGTATGCACGTGTGTGTACCAGAAGGAAATGTTTAGCTAGTTAACACCTGCTTGACAACAAGGGAGAGGGCGAGGTGCAACTAAATATTGTATCGATTTTTCGCAAAGTGTCTATTTTGCTTCTTGCTTTAGAATGGAAGACTGGCATCACAATCGGATAAAAACCTGATGAAAACTTATCAGGATGAAAGTAGATCCTGAACACTTCATCACTGTATGGCTATCAGAAATGATATAAGTGTTCTTTTCCAGTTCTTATCATACACAAGCACTGTACCTGCGGTGAACAGTTGAGTGGCATTCAGCACTTCGATAACTGCTTCAAGAATTAATCTGAATATCGATTATGTGCTTTGGTGGGAGTCTCTACCCTGCGTATGGCTTGAAATATGTTTCGGACAAGTAAAGCCATAATTCAGAAAAGGATGTGTGCTTGGCACAAAAACTTGCTTTATGAATGCTTAAATTATCTTCAAGAACCAGCATATCGAACCCATGTGTAACTCTATCTCGCATTCCATCATATCCAATACGATACACTTGTGTTATACAGTGAAATATTATGCTTATGTCCGCTATTATCATTGCATGTGAAGATTGGGAACAACTTATATCACCCCTGCAATGCTTTGGGTTTAACAAATTCTGAAGTTTTATCTTTTAAGAATGTTTTACATTGTATCTCGACTTTTGTTTGATACTGTTTTTAATGTTAATGGCAGATTGCGATCAACGGAAAGCAGACATCATTTTTGTACTTGATTCTTCGAACAGTGAGGGACTTTCAAATTTCAAACTCCAGCTCGATTTTGTTAAAAACTTTGTTGAACTGGTAAAAATTGGTCCAAACCATGTTCAAGTAGGAATAGTAACATTTGAATCTGAGGAACATAATGAATTCGATTTGAATGAACACCTCAATTCCAAAGACTTGATAAATGCTATTGAAAGTATTACTTATAAGCCCGGCAATACCTTTATTGGTAAGGCATTAGCGCTTGTAAACAATCATAGCCTCACTGCCGCTGCTGGAGACCGACCTGATGCAAATGACTTGGTCATCGTGATGACTGATGGTCAATCAACGGACGTAAATGAAACACTCGAGGAAGCTGCTTTGCTGAAATCCTCTCATCCAGATATCGAAGTCATCGCAATAGGAATTGGAGCGTCTGTTGATAGTGCAGAATTGGCAGCCATCGCCACTGACAGCAACAATGTTTATCAAGCGCCAAACTTCCAGTTTATCTCTGAAATACTGCCCCTGCTTGGAAACAGCACCTGTCTTCCACGTATGTCAGTTGTTATTGTCTTATGACAACTATGCATTATGTATATTGTACAAATTAATATGCTTAAATGAATTAGCAGATACACGATATTGGGATATTAATCAAGAAAGGAAAATGGAATCTGACAAAATGATACCCCATACACGATTCAAAGAAATAGAAGAAATCTTATTTATGAGTATCAATGTATAACGACTGAAATGTTATGTTATAGCTGCGACTACAGGGTCCGGTACGTATTTGCAAATCGCTGCTTTGCGTTGGAAAAAACATGCAATTGCTTCATTTTACTATTTTCAAAGACTAACATTTTTTTATTACGATATGTTTCATTTGCAAATGCATTGCTCTGCTTTTGCATACCACAAATGCATTTACTTTTATTTCATGAGAAAAGTATATTGAATGTTACTTACTTTCTGCTTCATGTTCAGCTTTAAATGGGCGGCAGTTGAAATGAAACCTCTAACGTAACCATAAAATGAATTGATGATATATCAGTGTGACGTAACAAAACACATCTTTCTATGAACTTCGCAGTACATCTCCACCATATGCTTTTAAAAATGCAGCATATCATTTGTGCCACTGAGTGTTACATGATTTTACTGACTGGGATGGAGGAGTGGGATTTTATCCTCAACCACAAAGCAACCAAACTGCGACACCTGCAATCTATTTTTTTTTTTTTTTTTTTTTCTTTTTTTTTTCTGCTTCATGTATTCTTAAATTTTGCTTGGCAATATATCACATTTCACGTGGGAAGTTTGCAGTCGCTTAAAATGCAATTGCTCAAAGGAGTAATGTTTTAGAAACGACTTATACTACTCATGATTTAGGCTTAACTTAAACTGTGATTTCATGGATTTCATGAACTGGTTGACAGAATATTTATGAGAATTACGAATTCGATTGGGATGTTGACTTACCTGGTGCGTTTTTCGTATAATTTGCGGACAGTAAAATTTGGATTCGTCGACAACGCAATATCGGTTATTCAAATCCTTTATCATCACTGTAGAAAGGTTTGTAACAGGAAACTAGCACATCATGGATCAAAAGACAATTCGTTTTGTGAATGTTAATTTACAACTTCACTAATCACTAAGAGTGTATAATGATAACAATAATATTATTAATTGCTTTGACATGCTTTGCAAAATGCAAATGCTTGTGTGAGTGAATCTATTTTACGTAAGGATGTGTTTTTAAAACACTTTATCGGGAAGAAGACGTGTTTTATCATATCATCACTTTACCTATGGTTTCACAACACCGTTTATACTTATATTTGAGATGAAGGAACAACCCTTAAATTACCATCCCTATCGTGAATACTGAGTGATTGCTGTTTGATGCTGCTGGTGTATAATATCAGAAGATTGCTTATCTGCAAAACGCAACTGCTTATATGATTTTGTATATACCAAATACGGACGGGTGATCTAAGGTTTTGCTGATTCTGATTGCAAACGCAAAGATACTTGGAAACATGTTGCCTCAAAATATCTAACTTGGAAAAGACAATTGGATCATGCATTGCTAGTTGTTATTTAGTAAATGACAAAAAGGTTCTTAAAGAAGCATCTCTTCACTGCAATTTTCTGTTCGATGTAAATGTTTCATGGTAATGGAACGTTTAATAACACATTGATAATGGAATGCTATTGTTTACTTTAGCCTGCGATAGCAGACAAGCAGATGTCGTCTTCTTACTTGACTCATCAACTACTGAAGGACCGTACAATTTCCAGAAAGAACTTGATTTTGTAAATTTATTCATAAACGAGTTCAACATCGATGTTTTTCACGTCCTTGTGAGCGTAATAACGTTCTCATCAAACCCAACTACTCAGTTCTACCTGAACAATTACACCAACAAGTATGCTTTACAGCAGGCAGTTATGAGCACGCCATTCATTCCTGGAAATACATTTACGGATACGGCTTTAAAACTAGCCAGAGAAACCAGCTTCCTGTCTTCAAACGGTGGGCGACCGGATGTCGAAAATGTTATCATACTTCTCACTGATGGTGAATCTACGGATCCTAACTCAACGTTCTATGAAGCAGAACTTGTCCACAATTCACCCGACAACATAACTGTTTACACCGTTGGAATCGGGCAAAGCGTTGACACGACTGAGCTAGAGATGATAGCCACAGATAATGATACTTCATTTTATGTGGACGATTTTTCTGGTCTTAATTATCTACTTCAAGCGTTAGGAAACCATTTCTGTAATGGTAGGTAATATATTTCTCTGAGACTGGCGGATCACAACTCCGACATCTATAAATAAGTCTATTATTGCTGTATAATATTTCTGAATTGTCCAAAAAATGATATTCTTTAATTGTGAAGCAGAACTTTGTTTTTTCTCTTTCTTTTCGATTAAGAATTCTTTCTAGTTGATTATTTTTTGCGTTCAAATAGTGTTTATTCATTTCAGGGATTTGTCATGTGATTTGAGATACCATTGTTGTACGTTTATGGATAGTATTGCTAATTTCGTAAATTCGCTTGAAACAAAACTTTTATTTTAGTGAGCATGTAATTGTAATTTAAATACAAATCTTCTCTTCTTTCTTCGCTTGTTAGAAACCTTTATTGTCCCTTGCTAAAATTTTTGTATTAAAAGTAGCATTTATCAATCCAAAATTAACCCATTATGCCATGGTCCTTATATCACAAATGTTAAACTCGTTTATGTTTTTGTAATTCTATTCATATCATTCAAAATATAACAGTTAAAACATTAAATTATGAAAACAAGAAAACAACTATTTTACTCTTTATGCTATCTTGTAATATTTTTTCTTAACTCTTTAATTCTTACACTGCTGTATTTTCTAATATATTTTACAGCAACGACCACAACGCTTGAGCCAGGCAAGTGTTGTTTTTGCCTTGTATCTGATCATTTAAATGTTGAATGTTTTATATGCTTTCCTATTTAAGCTGAAGCTTTTTGTCATCTTTAAATTCCTTTTCCTTTTGCAGTGTAATTTTCCTACACAGAAAGCTATCGAAAATTAGTTTAATTCATGTACTTGGATACTTCTTGAAAATTCAAAATACAGTCTATTTATCTCGAAATTTGCCGTCTTCTCAGTTGGTTTTTCGAAAAATGATTCATCGTGAGTTCTATCAAAAGAGGATTATTTTCAATTTTGATTTATCTCATAAAATATGAGAAGTCAATTTGTGAAGCAATATGTTTTGTTTTACTAAGCTTCATAATCACATTCGGTCGATGTTCAAGTTAACATGTTGTTTTATTGGATTGGCCTAGAATATGAAGCAGAAGATACTTGTACTTTTGGAACACTTGGTCTTTTGCAAAATCAGCGTGAAGAATCTTTTTTATTTTTATGTTGCTCTGGTTTTATCGATTCGTAATACTGTATTTTGATTGTGCAGACATATCGGTACTGTGTTAAGTTTTTAACATCACGTCACTTCAATCAATAATGTGATATAATGTCTTCTTTTCTTGCGAGATAGCAATATCAAAATGAATATTCTTTCAT